GATCACTCAAGTTCTGTGGCATTTCAAGAAATGTCACCATGATTCTGCAGGTTATGTGCACGGAGTACCTTCAAGAAAGGACAGAGCTGGTCACTGCCTTACACAAAGATAGGAAGATGTCTAATCTCCCCAAAATAAACCAGGTTTCTTTCTCTCGAAATCTCTGTCCTCTCAATCGGACTCACGCAATTGACTCATTATATATTCACATTGATTTTGTCGATCTCTTCTCTCTTCCTTCGCATCCTCTCAAGCCATTGATCTTTTCTGATGCAGTCCACACTGATAATCTGGGGGGAATATGATAAAGTCTTTCCATTGGAATTGGGTCACAGATTAAAGAGGTTTTCCTTCTATGCTTTGCTTTGGTTTTTCCACTTTCTTAACAAGCTTGATTCTCTACTAGAATGTGTCTAAACAACATCCTGGGATAAAATCAACTCTTCAGAACCAAAACGCTTCTAAGCATCTAAGACCCCTTAGTTTGAACATTCAACGCTCATGAGCATTAATTTCCAGAAGAATCTATTTTTGCCGAATGGCTCTTGGTAGGTGTTCTTGCTGAATAATCTGCTTCTTTGTTTTAATCGTTTGAATGACTATGGCCAGGCATTTGGATGAAAACGCGCAATTAGTGGTTATAAAGGATTGCGGTCATGCAATGAATGCAGAGAAGCCGAAAGAGATGTACAAACACATCAAGTCGTTCCTTGTCGATCCACAACTTTCACCTAAGAGGACAAATCAAACCAATGGCCAGAAGGTGGACTAAGATTCGGCAATGACTTTATAGTCGAATCAGCCTTCTGCAGCATGCACACATTGATTTAAGCTATGTAATTAGAAGAAACATTATTCAACATACTGAACCTATGAAGAGTGATGGCCATACTATGGGAAGTGCTTCCTTTTTATTCTCGAGATATATCATTACAGATGCATTTTTTGGGTTCATTGTCAATTCTGCTTTATTAGTGTTGCAATGTTTGCTTGTAATGCTGCTTTCGCGGTACGCGAATCAAATGGATGCTGTTGCGATGAACATTGTCTTCCTTTCCAGTTCAGCATGAATTCTGGGGCATATTGGGAATCAGAATATCAATATTCCGAGAACCGTTTGCCGATCGAGCTGAAACATGAAATAGGCGATTGGCATCGCCGCTTTGCAGCAGGCTTTGCAGAAGGAGATTTCGATAACTTTTCTCACCTTTAGTCTCATGATTAAAACAGATGACTTTGCTTCAATTCAAGTTGCCCGGGCTGATAAACTTCATCTGATCATTGTGCAGAGTCAGTCAAGTCGTTAGTTCCTGTAGAAGGAGGCTGAGGTAGTGAGGCGAGTACTGATTGGTTCGGCCCAAGAGGTGTTCTCAAGATGCATGAAAATTAGCCATTAGAATTTCCATTCTAAAAGTTAGAATTTCGGAGTCGTTTGATAACCGATCGGGTTGGGAAGGAGCGATCAACATCGGTGATTTCATTGGGCTTTACTATAGAGATTTCGACAGCCATTTTGAAAGACTTTAAGCGATAGTTATTGTCTAGAAAAGCGAATCCGCCGCTGTAGTCCGCCATGATGCAAGCGGGTACAAAGCCAGAGACTCTCCCAAGCCCAAGTGCCTTTCATAAATGAACGAAGGTTTTCCGAGACCAAGAGCAACTAAGATCCAAACTTGGACCAAGGTTTTGCCAAACCACTTATGAAATTAAGAGAACGCATTATACGACTAGGCCAATCACCACGATGGTACTTTTAAGGAGTTATTATTCGAATTATAATCAAAGTTAAGTAGAAAACATATCGTGACATAAGAAGCAATCAAAACGAACGGATGATTACATTAGAAAATCGTTATACAAGTTTGGAGCGACTTTTACGAATAAATTCATGAGTCTGATATCGAAACTCATTATTTTTGTGGGTTCTTCGCTATTTACAATTAAACCATGAGAAGTTCAAAATACGTAATATAATCCATGAATTATACAACTTCATATTTTGTTCATTCTTAAATGAGTGCTTCACCTTTCGAACACCTGAAAACAAAACAAATAACACACATAATTAATACTTAGTATGTTTGTCTAGCGGAGCTGCGCTCGTGAGGCGAGCGAGGCTGAGGTGGGCGAGCGAAGAGGGTTTCTTTTTTTTTTTTTTTAATTAGAACTAGATTTCTTTCTACTTTCTAATTTACACAATAAACTGAATTGCATAAAAAAGAAGAGAATAGATGAGGAGGCCCCAGGTTTAGAGTAGACAAAAGCATTTGATAAATAAAATATACAGGGTTGGTATGTGTTGGACTAATCCTAAATTCCTAGGACCGAGAATCAATCCACATAGTGCAGGGTTCAGGAGTCCCAGGACCAAGGATCGACCTAATCCCCCTAGGAACTGGACCAGGATCGGCCGGGTTAGGCCGGTCCAAGGTCGGTCTAGGGTTGACTTTAGATCAATGCTCACCCCTGGTGCACACCAAGCAACGTGGAACTTCGTCCTTGCTTGAAGGCCTCTTTTTATATAAGTGATAAACTAGAAACAAGTCTTAGAAAATCGGTGAGACTAGCTCACGAGCTTCGACAGATAGAAAGTTAATATAAAAAGTTCAAGAAATGCAAAATGAGTAAGTCACTGTATAAGTAAGTTCTTTGGCATTGAAGTGCCATGAATAATTGATCATCTACTTGGCCACATTCGGGAAAAGACTAATTAGAGTGCATTAACATAATTTGTAGGAGCTGTCAAATGTGAGGAGTACAATTGAATTGTTCTCGAATTGAAGGAGTGAATACCATAAAAAACCTCAAACTGATAGACTGGTACCATATTTACCTCAAAAATAATTTTCTTGTTACAAAAATCCCATATTGGTACACCCAACCGCATGTACAATAAACTAATCATGAATCACAAAAAATCCCAAGCCGGTATGCATATGCCATAGTTACTCCAAACTAAGTTTCATATCACAAAAAATCCCAAATCACCAAAATCTTATATTGGGAAATTTGCTAAAATCTGCTAATTTTGCCCTAAAGGCTTCCTCAAGTTGCAAAATCTACTAAAATTCCTAATTTTTGTAACACGAAAATTAGTTTGGGGTAAATGTAGCACGGCTTACAAAGTTTGAGATTTTTTTGACACGAAAATTATTTTGAGATAAATGTGACAAGAGTGCACGATTGAAATGTTCTCAAAAGTGTCTCTATCATGACCACTTGATGATCTATCTCTCTATCGTTAAATAGAGTTTTTCTTTGCCCACGGTTCATTGCACATAATATTCGCCGGAGTTTCCCACATAGTTAGGCAAAAATCTATGGAATTTCTAGGATGTTAGATACAGCCTGTCTAGAATATGTTCCAAAAAAATTCTAGAAAATGGGGATCTCTGTGTTTTCCTAACCTCGACCGCATCATTACAAATACTTCCCACAGATTTTCCAAATTAATTTAGCGAATGGCAAAAAGAAAAAAAAATTGCCACACTATTAAGTGGATAATAAAAGAAAATGCTACAATTTTTTTTATATAATGATTCTCTTAGGCCTAATACCCTAAAAAACCTTCAACTTTAACTTTTGTCCCAATTTTACCTTTTGTCTCATAAAAAACCATTAGCTTTAGGTGCAGTTTTAATTCTACCATAAACTTTTTTTTGTCCCATAAAAAACCCTCAACTTTAGGACATGTCCCAATTTTAGCCTAAACTATTTTTTATCCTACAAAAAACCCCAAACTTTAGCTCTAGTCTCAATTTTACCATAAAATTTTTATAGTCTCATAAAAAATCATAAAATTTTACTTAAGTCTTAAACTCTGTCCCCATTAATCCTCTGCCGTTGACAACCGAGAGATGGAAAACTCCCAGGCATGAGCTATTCGAGAGTCCGAGCTCGAGCTCTTAGACCGCAAGAGATGGAACACTCCAAAGTACGAGAGATCGACGAGCGCAAAATCATAAGAACGATTTTGACGGAAGGTTAATGGAGAGTAGATTTGAGACTCAAGTAAAAGTTGGTGATCTTTTATGAGACAAAAAAATTTCGAGTGAAATTGAAATTGAACCTAAAAATGGAATTTTTTATGAAACAAAAAAAATTTAGGGTAGAATTGATATAATACCCAAAGTTGAGGGTTTTTTATAAGACAAAAAAAGTTTATTGTAGAATTGGGACTAGACCTAAAGTTAGAGGTTTTTTATGGGACAAAAAAAAATTAGGATAGAATTGGGATATAACCTAAAGTTTGAGGTTTTTTACGAGACAAAAGGTAAAATTGGGACAGAAGTCAAAGTTTGAGGTTTTTTAACGTATTAAACCGATTCTCTTTTGCCATATGAGCAATTAATGTTTACGAAAATCAAAATATTTCTTGCTACCTATGCTTGATCCACGGAGCACTCGTGAAGTCGACACTTCTAAACTATAACTAAATTACACGTTTGGATAGACTTTTACCATAAGTGTAATCTAAATCTCACGGTGGATGCACATTAGCTTTTTTATAACTCGAAATACCCGAAAATTTTACGATATGTATAAACTGACACGTAAATTCTCATATAATATTTCTTATAAAAGCATTTCATCTAATTTTAAAATTTAGTGGGAAAATGAAACGTTACATTTTGCTTTTTTGTAAGGCACAAACAAAAGGCCCACAATTTGATTGGAAGTTACTGTACGGTTTATAGACCGTATGGACTAATATCATCTCAATTGTTAAAAACCAAAGTCTCACCATATTGCCCACGTTATCAACGATTGAGGTTGGCTTAGTCTATTTAATGCATAGACCATGCTCCATTTTATCATAATCAATATAGAAAGTGCTATTGCCTCCCCTGCTTTTTGATGACCTCTGTTCTAACTAAGAGCTTCAAAGTCCTCCTGTCGTTGGCTCTTCGAAAACCATTGTCTCTCTGGCGCCACTTCGTCTGTTTTTGACTTTTGAAGTCGTAACCAAGCAAAGCTGCTTTGAATGTTCATCCCAGTCAGCACCAAGATTAGCAGACTAAGGAACCAACTAGCAGATTGTCTTAACCTCCATCTCTGCTCAATTCAATAGTACCACATTTTTGAGAGAGCAAAGAAAACACCCTCTTCATTTCTTGATCAAACCGCCATTTCTTTCGATCTAATCTGTCCTCCAAAGGCGACCCACTCCTCGGAAAACCTCAAGAACATACCCGCAAAAGGGCGAACAAGAGAACCAAAAATTGATGCCAAAGTGCTTCAGCTTTGCAGCAGCATATGACCGATGGTGTCGCTTCAGCTTTTCCCGAGCGGGCCTGAAATCGACCACCACCGACCTCGGCGAAGGCACGGTCATGCACTGTTGGGTCCCCAAGACGTACAACCCCAACAAGCCCAACTTGCTCCTCTTGCACGGCCTCGGAGCCAAAGGAATGTGGCAGTGGAGCATGTTCATCTCGCGCTTCATCGAGACATTCAACTTGTACGTGCCTGATCTCTTGTTCTTCGGCGAATCCTACACAACCCAGCCCGAGCGGACCGAGCAGTTTCAGGCTCAGTGCGTCGCAGGTAGGACCGTCGACTTTCTGACAGACAGGATACCACATGACTCGAGCAAGACTGACTCGGATCAGCATTGACCCGTTTTGCAGGAGTCTTGAAGGCTCAGGGAGTGAGAAAGACGAAAGTGGTGGGGCCAAGTTACGGTGGATTCGTGGCGTATAGCTTGGCGGCGCAGTTCCCGGAGATGGTGGAGAAGTTGGTTCTGTGCTGTGCAGGGGTTTGTATGGAGGAGAAGGACATAGAGGATGGGATGTTTCAGGTGGGCCAAAAAACATTAGATAGACTCGTTTCCTGAGTGGTAATCACTAATCACGATGCAGAAACTACTTTCGAACTTGTGTGTAATTTTTGTGTGCAGTTCAGCGCCTGTCATAGTGTTTCTTGATACTTGTGATAATGGAACTGAGTGAGTCTTTGGGCAATGTCTTCCGCAGTTGAAGAGCGTGGACGAGGCCGTGAGTTTGCTGTTACCGCAGACGCCAGAGAAGATGAAGGAAATGCTCAAGGTTGTCTTTTACAAGCCTGTGTGGAACGTGCCCAATTGCATTCTGCAGGATTTCCTTGATGTAAGTTGACGAAAAGTTAAAAATCTCTCCGCTGCACATTTGTTTTTTCGCACATTGCCTACGAATCTGAGTTTAGTTGATGCCAAGTGTTCAGTTTTCGTTTCCTTTGCTAGCAAAATCTTCGCCCTTACTTTTCCTGATTCATAATGGAAGTTTGTACAGTTAGTTATTAGCTAATAGCTACATTGATTGGGGAAGAACAATCTTTACATGGCTCTCCTGTCTTTTTTATGTCATCGTGTAAGCGACTTCTTGACCATACTCATAGAAGTCTTGTTCAGATTTTATTGCTCAAGATTACGAGGTATCGGGTCGATTACATTCCGAATAGAAAGGCCTCTGCTTTTAGAGAACAGAGTAAACACCATATTATTTGTCGATTCTATGAGAGTTTGTACACGTGCAAGGAGTTGTGAACTTCTGGTAGAACAAAAATCACCATTCAGCATTCTGCACTCAACTATCGCAGCTTTTTTCCTCTAACCTATATTTGAGGTCTAGGAATATTGCATTGGTGTTGTTTAGTCCCCAAATCTCGACTATAAGGAACTATTTTTACTCAAGACAAAATGAGCAAGTAGTTTGTTCCTTGTGAACTTAGATTGATGACAGTGAGATGTCTAGTTGTGAAGGCCAGTAGAGATTAAACGGCAACTTGTGATACAAAATGCTAACTCTCACTGTCATCAATCTTGCATTAGTTGTGCTGTTTCAACAAACTTATGAAAAGCTAAATTTCTAGATTTTATTTAATGATGTTTCTTGCGCATGCGGGGGGTCGGTTAGGCAATCTCGGAAAAGTTTATCTTGATCACTCAAGTTCTGTTGCATTTCAAGAAAGGTCACCATGATTGTCTGCAGGTTATGTGCACGGAGTACACTCAAGAATGGACAGGGCTGCTTAATGCCTTACTCAAAGATAGGAAGATGTCTAATCTTCCCAAGATAACTCAGGTTTCTTTCTCTCGAAATCTCTGTCCTCTCCATCGGACTCACGCAATTGACTCAGTATATATTCACATTGTTTTTGTCGACATCTTCTCTCTTCTTTGGACATCCTCTCAAGCCATGGATCTTTCTTGATGCAGCCGACACTGATAATCTGGGGGGAATATGACAAAGTCTTTCCATTGGAATTGGGTCACAGATTAAAGAGGTTTCCCTTCCACGTTTTGCTTTGGCTTTTCTACTTTATTTAGAAGCTTGATTCTCTAACAAGCACCTGTATAAACAGCATAATTGGATAAAAACAAATCGTCAGAACCGAATTGTTCTTAATTACTGAGACCCCTTCAGTTTGAACTTTCAATGTTCATGGGCGTTAAATTCCAGGAGGATCTCTTTTTGCTGAATGGCTGTTGGTAAACTTTCTTGATGGAATAACCTGCTTTTTTCTTTTTATTGTTCTACTGACTTTGGCCAGGCATTTGGATGAAAATGCGCAATTAGTTGTTATCAAGGATTGTGGTCATGCAATGACTGGAGGGGAGATGAAAGAGATGAACAAACGCATGAAGTCGTTCCTCGTAGATCGACCCCTTTCACCTGAGAAGGCAAATCAAACCAAAGGCCAGAAGGTGCACTGAGAGTCAGCAATGAATTTATAGTCGCATTCAGCCTTCTGCAGCATGATTGTTCGAGTTATATACTCATTAATATAAGCTATGTAGTTAGAGGAAACACAGTTCAACATATTGAACCGATGAAGAGCAAGGCCCAGTATGGGGAATATTTCCTTTTTCTCCTCGAGATATTGCGTTACAGATGTATATTTTTGGGTTCATTGTATTGTAATGTTTGCTTGTAATACTACTTTCACAGTTCACGAAGCCAACTTATGCCATTGCTATGAACATTGTCTTCCATTCCAGTTCAGCATGAATTCTGGGGCATATCGGTACTCTGAATGTCCATATTCTGAGAACCGCTCACTGATGGGGCTGAAAACATGAAGCAGGTGATTGGCATCACCGCTCCACCAAAGGAGAAGTCGACAACTTTTTGCACCCACCCTTAACTTGATTAATACAGATGCTAAACTTCATCATGGTGCAGAGTCAGTCAAGGTGTTAGTTCCTGTAGTAGGAGGCTGAGGTAGTGAGGCGAGTTGGGGTTCGACCCAAAAGGTGTTATCAAGATGCATGAGAAGTAGCCATTAGAAGTTCCATTTTAAAATCTGGAGATTTATAAGAACTGGACGTTGCCCTGAATTTTCGGAGGGTCGTTTTGTCTGATAACCAAATAGGTTGGGAATGAGCAACCATCATCTGTGATTCCATTGGGCATTACCATAGGAATTCTAACATCCAATTTGACATCTCCACTTTAAGCAATAGCTACTGCCTCAAAAGGCGAATCCGCCGTTCTAGTCCACCATGATGCAAGCGGGTACAAAGCTGGAGGTTCTCCCAAACCCAAGTGCCCTTCATAAATGAGCTAAGGTTTTCCCAGACCAAGTGCACCTAAGCCCCAAACCTGGACCAAGGTTTTTCTGGATCATTTAGGAAATTAAGAGTATGCCTTGTGGTACTTTTGAGGAGTTTTTATTCGAATTATAATCAAAGTTAAGTGAAAAACATCTTAGCATAAGAAACAACCCAAACGAACGCATTATTACATTAGAAAATCATTATACAAGTTTGGAGCAACTTACACGAATTGTGGGTTCTTTGCTATGCAACAAATGCATGTAAATGAAGCAATTTTGTTTTGGTATAAATATCTATGAACTCATACAAATTCATTCTAATTAGAAGAGTTACATAAAGGGGAAGAGAAGGAGGGGAAGTAAATAGGGACAGTCAAGATGAGAGACGAGAGTGCTAGTGTTGTTTACTAAGTAGCATAGCAGAAAAGGTAGAAAAACTCTCATTACTTGATTTTAATAGCTTTCATTGAATAAATAGCTATTGGCTTTCATACTCTCGTGATGCACCTCACCTTCTGCGAAGCCAGGTATATATACAGCCTCACTTGTGCACGCCAAGCGACATGGAACTTTGTCCTTGCTCAAAGGCATCTTTTTATACAAGTAACTGACTGAAAACAAAATATTTGTGTCATATTTACCCGAAATTATCTTTCGTGTCACAAATCATCAAAATCTTATATTGAGAAATCTGCTAAGATATGCTAATTTTGCCTTAAGAGCTTCCTCAAGTTTCAAAATATGCTAAAAACCATAATTTTTATGATGCAAAAATTAGTCTGAGGCAATTATGGCACAAGTTGCTCAAGTTTGGAATATTTGTGACACAAAAATTAGTTTTGGATAAATGTAACATGAATGTACGATTAAATTTTTCCCAAATTTTAAGTGTCGCTATCATGACCAATTGATGATCTATCTCTCCATTGTTAGATAGAGTTTTTCTTTGCCCAGAGTTCATTGCACAGAATATTTGTCGGTTCCGACATATTTAGGCAAAAATCTATGGAATTTCTAAGAGGTTTAGTGCAACCTGACTAGAATATGTTCCAAACCATTTATAGAAAATGGGGATTGCTATGTTTTCCAAACCTTACCCTCATCATTGTAAATACTTCCTAGAGATTTTCCAAATTAATTTAATGATTGGCCAAAAATAAAAAATAAAAATTCCCCACACTATTTCCCTTCTGTCTTGCCTTCCGTCATCTTATTAAATGGAGTTATATTAAGGCTCTGTTTGTTTTACAGAAAATTAATTATTTTCTAAAATATTTTTCAAAAAATTATCACTCGCATCGCTTGAAATAATTATTTAATGAAAAATATTTTCATCATTGATAATAATTTTTTTTTTTATAATCGAGGTGTCCGCGCGGCCGGCGAGTTAGGGCTCAAACCAGCGGTATTTATGTCTAAATACTTTTATAAACGATGAAAAAAATTTGTTCATTCGTTTTTGTAAGCGATACAGGTGATCATTTTTAAGAAAATATTTTTCAAATCATTTATTTTCATTGAAACAAACGGAGCTTAAATAATGAAAGGAAATGCTACGCTTTTTTTAATATAATGATTTTCTTTTGCCATATGAACAATTAGTATTTAGGAAAATAAAAAATTTCTTGCTAGATATGCTTGATCTATGGAGCACTAGTGAAATTGACACTTCTAAACTATCACTAAATTGCACGTCTGGATAAACTTTTACCATTAGCTTAATCTAAATCTCACAATGGACACACATTAACTTTTTCATAACTCGAAATACCTGAAACTTTTACAATATACATAAATTGGCACGTAAGTTCTCATATAATTTTTTTGTACAGAGATTTTTCATATAATTTTAAATTTTAAAAAGGAAAATAAAATGTTACCTTTTGCTTTTTAAAAAGCACAAACTAAAAGCCCACAATTAATCAAAAGTTACTATATGACTTACAAATTATATGGACCAATATCATCTCAACAGTTAATAATGAAAGTCTCACCGTGCGATCCACGTTATTAATGATTGAGATTCGCTTGATCTATCTACTGCATAGACCACATACACTTATCATAATCAATGTAGAAAATGCTCTTGCCGCCCCTACTTTTTGATGACCTCTGATCTAACTAAGAGCTTCAAAGTCCTCCTGTCATTGGCTCTTCCTCGACATTTGTCTCTCTGAGGCCATCTTTTTTTTTTTTTTTTTTTTTTTTTTTTTTTTTTTTTTTTTTTTTTTTTTTTTTTTTTTTTTTTTTTTTTTTTTTTTTTTTTGGGGGGGGGGGGGGGGGGGGGGGGGGGGGGGGGGGGGGGGGGGGGGGGGGGGGGGGGGGGGGGGGGGGGGGGGGGGGGGGGGGGGGGGGGGGGGGGGGGGGGGGGGGGGGGGGGGGGGGGGGGGGGGGGGGGCGGGGGGGACCGGCCCGTGGATTTGTCTCTCTGAGGCCAGTCTTGTCTCTTGTTTACTTTTGAAGTCTTTGCCAAGGAAGCTCCTTCGAATCTTCATCCCAGTAAAAACCAAAATTGGCAGACTATAGATGATACCCAATTGGCAGATTGCCTCAATCTCCACCTCTGCTCAATCCAAAAACGTCACGTTCTTGAGAGAGAAGACACCCTCTTCAGTTCTTGATCGAACCCACCATTTCTTTCGATCTAATCCGTCCTCCAGACTCGACCAGCTCCTCAGGAAACCTCAAGAATATACCCTCAAAAGAGCAAACAAGAGAACCGACTCTTGATGGCAAAGTGCTTCAGCTTTGTGGCGACGTGGGACCGATGGTTTCGCTTCTCCTTTTCCCGGGCCGGCCTGAAATCGACCACCACCGACCTCGGCGACGGCACGGTCATGCACTGTTGGGTCCCCAAGACGTGCAAGCCCAACAAGCCCAACTTGCTCCTCCTGCACGGCCTCGGAGCCAACGCAATGTGGCAGTGGTACGTGTTGATCTCGCGCTTCATCGCGAGATTCAACGTGTACGTGCCTGATCTCTTGTTCTTCGGCGACTCCTACACGACCCGGCCCGATCGGACCGAGCAGTTTCAGGCTCAGTGCGTCGCAGGTAGGACGGTCGATTTTCTGACAGACAGCATACCACATGACTTCAGCAAGACTGACTCGGATCAGCATTTGATCTGTTTTGCAGGAGTCTTGGAGGCTCAGGGAGTGAGAAAGACGAACGTGGTGGGGGCAAGCTACGGCGGGTTCGTGGCGTATAGCTTGGCGGCGCAGTTCCCGGAGATGGTGGAGAAATTGGTTATATACGGTGCAGGGGTTTGTATGGAGGAGAAGGACATGGAGGATGGGATGTTTCAGGTGGGCCAAAAAACATTTGATAGACTCGTTTCCTGAGTGGTAATCACGTTGCAGAAACTGCTCTGGAACTTGCGTGTATTTCTTGTGTGGAGTTCAGTGCGGGTCTTACTGTTTCTTGATACTCGTGATAATGGAACTGAGTCTGTCTTTGGGCAATGTCGTCTGGTAGGTGAAGAGCATGGACGAGGCCGTGACTATCCTGTTACCGCAGACGCCAGAGAAGATGAGGGAGATGCTCAAGGTCGTCTTTCACAAGCCGGTGACGAAAATGCCCACTTGCTTTATGCAGGATTTCATTGATGTAAGTCGACAAAAAGTTACAATCTCTCAGCTGCAAGTTTGTGTTTTCGCACATTGCCTACGAATCTGAGTTTAGTTGATGCCTAGTGTTCAGTTTTCGTTTCCTTTGCTAGTGAAATTCTTACCCTTCCTTTTCCTGATTCATAATGGAAGTTTGTACATGTAAATGTCGACTAATAGCTCCATTGAATGGGGAAGCAGAATCTTTACATGGCTCTCCTCTGTTTTTATGTGATCGTGTAAGCCATTTCTTGACCACACTCGTAGGAGTCTTGTTCACAATTTATTGCTCAAGATTACGAGGTATCGGGCGCTTAGGTTCTAAATAGAAAGGCCTCTGCTTTAGAGAATAGAGTAAACACCATGTTATTTGTCGAGTCTATGAGAGTTTGTACACGTGCAAGGACTTGTGAACTTTTGGTCGGACCATGATCACCATTCAGCAATCTGCCCTCGACTATCGCGGCTTTGTCCCTCTAACCTATATTTGAGGTCTAAGAATATTGCATTGGTGTCGTTTAGTCCCCGAATCTCGACTACATGGAACACTTTGGACACTAGACAAAATGAACAAGTAGTTTTGTTCCTTGTGAACTGAGACTACACAAGATGTCTAGTTATGAAGGCCAGTAGAGATTAAACGGTGGCTTGTGATGCAAAGTGCTAACTCTCACTGTCATCAATCTCGCATCGGCTGTGGTGTTTCAACAAACTTATGAAAAGATAAATATCTAGATTTTAGTTGATGATGTTTCTTGCGGGAAAGTTTATCTCGATAGCTCAAGTTCTGCGGCATTTCAAGAAAGGTCACCATGATTGTCCGCAGGTTATGTGCACGGAGTACCACCAAGAAAGGACAGGGCTGGTCAATGCCTTACTTAAAGACAGGAAGACGTCTAATCTTCCCAAGATAACTCAGGTTTCTGTCTCTCGAAATCTCTATCCTCTCGATCGGACCAAGCAATTGACTTAGTTATTCACATTGATTTGTCGATATCTTCTCTCTTCTTTGTACATCCTCTCAAGCCATGGATCTTTTCTGATGCAGCCGACATTGATAATCTGGGGGGAATATGATAAACTGTTTCCATTGGAACTGGGTCACAGATTAAAGAGGTTTCCCTTCCACGCTTTGCTTTGGTTTTTCTACTTTCTTTAGAAGCTTGATTCTCTAACAAGCACTTAAATAAACAACATAATTGGACAAAAACAAATCTTCAGAACTGAAGTGTTCTTAATCATCTAAGACCCCTTCAGTTTGAACATTCATTGTTCATGTGCATCAAATTCCAGGAGGCCTTTGGTAAACTTTCTTGATGGAATAACCTTCTTCTTCTTTTCTTTATATTGTTGGAATGACTTCGGCCAGGCATTTGGATGACAACGTGCGATTAGTGGTTATAAAGGATTGTGGTCATGCGATGAATGTAGAGAAGCTGAAAGAGATGTACAAACACATCAAGTCGTTCCTCGTAGATCCACTCCTTTCACCTAAGAAGGCAAATCAAACCAAAGGCCAGAAGGTGGACCGAGCATCAGCAATGAATTTATAGTCGACTCAGCCTCCTGCAGCATGCTTGTCCAAGTTATATCCATACAATATATGTGCATTAATTTAAGCTATGTAATTTGAAGAAACATAGTTCAACATACCGAACCCATGAAGAGCGAGGCCCATAGTATGGGGAATATTTCCTTGTTTTCGCGAGACATTGCATTGCAGACGCATATTTCGGGTTCATTGCGAATTTTTCTGGATTAGTGTTGTAATGTTTGCTTGTAATACTGGTTTCACGATGCACGAAGCAAATTAATGCCATTGCGATCAACATTATCTTCCTTTGCAGTTCAGCGTGAATTCTGGGGCACATTGGTACTCAGAATATCATTATTCTGAGAACCGCTCTCGGATGGAGCTGAAAACATGAAGTAGGTGATTGGCAGCGCTGCTTTGTAGAAGGAGAAATCGATAACTTTTTGAACCTTTAACATGATTGATACGCATGCTAAACTTCATCAGGTCATGGTGCAGAGTCAGTCGAGATGTTAGTTCCTGTAGCAGGAGGCTGAGGTAGTGAGGCGAATAGGGGCTCGACCCAAAAGGTGTTATCAAGATGCATGAAAGTAGCCATAAGAAGTTCCATTGTGAAATCTGGATATTTATAAGAACTTGAAGTTGATCCAAGTTCACGGAGGGTCGTTTTTTTCTGACACCCGAACGGGTTGGAAAGGAGCGACCCACATTGGAAATTCTTCTTGAACGTCAGTATCTTGACACCCACTTTGAAATGTCCAATTTGAGTGATAGCTACTGCCTAAAAAGGTGAATCCATCGTTGTAAACCACCACAACGAAAGCAGGTAAAAAGGCAGAGGCTCTCCCAGGCCCAACTGTCCTCCATATATGATCTAAGGTATTCCGAGACCGAGAGCAATAAGATCCAAACATGGGACCAAAGTTTTTTCTGGACCACTTAGGAAATTAGTAATATGCCTTGTATGACTAGGCCAATCAACGCAATGGTACTATTTGCTTTTTAAAAAGCACAAACAAAAAGGCCCACATGAATTAATATCGTTTCAATCATTAGTAATGTGAATCTCATTTTGTGTGACCCACATTATCAATGATTGAGATGGGCTTAATTTATATAATGAATAGACCATGCATTATTTTCTCGTAATCAATATAGAAAGTGTTATTTCCTGTCTAACTAAAAGCTTCAAAATCCTCCTGTCCTTGGCTCAATGTGTATTCACTGAAGGCAAATAGCGTTTGGATAATTGAGTTCTGGTGCAATTTTTGTAAAACAACTTTAAAGTAGAGATTTGTATAAAACAAAAAAAGGATACTCAAGCAAAGAAGCAACAAGAGTAAGCTTTTAGCATTGAAGAAAAAAAGAGACCCGTGAAGCTTCAGCGACCAAGAAGCAACAAAAGTAAGTTTCAGACGAGGACTGTTGCGAGCCTAGGTGAGGGCTTTGAGGTCGCGTGACCTCAGGCGACACCGCGCCGAGGTCGCTCGACTTTGGCGAGCCTCGCGATAAACAAATCTATGCGCAACCTCGGTAAGCTTGCAACAGAACAAATCCCAGAGCTAGGGTGGATGAATAGATTCATGTATCTCGACAAGTGGAACAGATTTGAAGTTCTCCACGAATAGATTTGCAGCTTGCCGGAGCCTCGCAACCATCGACCTCAGTGACCCTCGCTGACCCTCAGCGGAGCTTCATTGGCGACCCACATTTGCAACTCGGAGAAGATGAATAGTAAACTTATGATTGCGAGACTACAAAATGACAATATTAGTGAAGGCGATTTTGGAAGAGGAAAAAAAGTTTATTAACCCTCAAACTTGCCCTCCGGAAAAACTAAAAACTCAATGCAGATCAAATCAAATTTGCTGAATACCCTAATTTTTCCTTTGGAAAAGCTAAAGCACCCACTCTTATCTATTTTTAACTTTTGAAGTCTTAATCATGAAAGCTCCTTTTAGTCCTCATCCCAGTAAACACCAAAATTATCAGGCTAAGAAGATGCCTAGTTAGTAGATTGTCTTAATCTCCATATCTGCTAAATCCAATGGCATCGCATTCATGAGCAATAAAAAAAAGCACCCTCTTTCATTGTTCGATCAAACCCACCATTTCCTCAATGTAATCCGTCCTCCAAAAGCGAGCCACTCCTCAGAAAACCTCAAGAATATAACAACAAAAGAGCAAACAAGAGAACCAGATCTTGATGGTGAAGTGCTTCAGCCTTGCAGCGATATGGAACCGATGGTTTCGCTTCTCCTTTTCCCGGGCCGGCCTGAAATCGACCACCACCGACCTCGGCGACGGCACCGTCATGCACTGCTGGGTCCCCAAGACGTACAAGCCCAACAAGCCCAACTCGCTCCTCTTGCACGGCCTCGGAGCCAACGCGATGTGGCAGTGGAACGAGTTCATCTCGCCCTTCATCGCTAGATTCAACGTGTACGTGCCTGATCTCTTGTTCTTCGGCGACTCCTACACGGCCCGGCCCGAGCGGACCGAGCAGTTTCAGGCTCAGTGCGTCGCAGGTGGGACCGTGGATTTTTTGACAGAACATGATAGCACATGACTCAAGCAAGACCGAATCATCATCATCATTTGACCCGTTTTGCAGGAGTCTTGGAGGCTCAGGCAGTGAGGAAGACGAACGTGGTGGGGATAAGTTACGGCGGGTTCGTGGCGTATAGCTTGGCGGCGCAGTTCCCGGAGATGGTGGAGAAGTTGGTTCTGTGCTGTGCAGGGGTTTGTATGGAGGAGAAGGACATGGAGGATGGTATGTTTCAGGTGAGCAAGATAGTCTCGTTTTATGAATGACAATCACATTGCAAAAACTGCTTTGGAACTTATATGCATTTCTTTTGGAGTCCAGTGCGTCTTACTGTTTCTTCATGCATGTGATAGTGGAACTGAGTGAGTCTTGGCGCAATGTCGTCTCAGCAGGTGAAGAGTCTGGACGAGGCCCTGAGTTTCCTGTTACCGCAGACGCCGGAGAAGATGAAGGAGATGTTCGAGGTCGTCTTTTACAAACCGGCAACGAAAATGCCCACTTGGATTATGAAGGATTTCATTGATGTAAGTTGACAAAAAGTTTTAAATCTCTCAGCTGCACGTTTGTGGTTTTGCACATTGCCTCTGAATCTAGTTCAGTTGATTCCAAGTGTTCAGTTTTCGTTTACTTTGCTAATTCGCTCACTTCCTTTAAAAGCTACATTGAGTGGGAAAGTAGATTCATTACGCGGCTCTCCTGTGTTTTTATGTTATTGACAAAGCCACTTCTTGACCATGCTCATTGGAGACTTGTTTCACATTTTTATTGCTCAAGATTACGAGTTATCGGGCGGATTACATTCTATAACTGAAGAATGCTTCTTGGCTTGTTTTAGCAGCTCTGGAGTGTTGGCTATGCATATGGTGATGTTTAGTGAAAAAAAAAATGTGCGTAAATAATAACACCTCTGCTTATAGATACAGAGTCATTACCATTCAGCGTTCTGCCCTGGACTATCGCAGCTTTGTTCCCTCTTGTCCATATTTGAGGTTGAGGAATATTGCATTGGTGCATTTAATCCACGAATCCCGACTGTATGGAACATTCCGGACACTAGACAAAATGAACAAGTAGCTTGTTCCTTGTGAGCTGAGACTACACAAGATATCTAGTTATGAAGACCCTAGAGATTAAACAGCTGCTTGTCATACAAAGTGCTAACTCTCACTGTCATCGATCTTGCATTAGCTGTGCTGTTTCAACTAACTTATGAAAAGCTAAATATTTAGATTTTATTTGATAATGTTTCTCACGGGCAATCTAGGAAAAGTTTATCTCGATCACTCGAGTTCTATGGCATTTGAAGAAAGGTCACCATGATTTTCTGCAGGTTATGTGGAAGGAGTACCTTCAAGAAAGGACAGGGCTGGTCAATGCCTTGTACAAAGATAGGAAGATGTCTAATCTTCCCAAAATAACTCAGGTTTCTTTCTCTTGAAATCTCTGTCCTCTCTATCGGACTCGCGCAATTTACTCATTACATATTCACATTGATTTTGTCTATATCTTCTCTCTTCTTTGGCATCCTCTCAAGCCATTGGTCTTTTCGGATGCAGCCAGCACTGATAATCTGGGGGGAATATGATAAAGTCTTTCCATTGGAATTGGGTCACAGATTAAAGAGGTTCCCCTTCTACGCTTTGCTTTGGTTTTTCTACTATCTTCAGAAGCTTGATTCTCTAACAAGAACTTGTATAAACAACATCTGGGATGAAAACCAATCTTCAAAACCAAAATATTCTTAATCACCTAAGACCACTTCAATTGAAAATTCAATGTTCATGGGCATCATATATCAGGAGGATCTATTTTTGCTGAATGGCTCTTGGTAGATTTTCTTATGGAATAACCTGCTCTTTTTTTTAATCGTTCGAATGAATTTGGCCAGGCATATGGATGATAACGGGCAGTTAGTGGTTATAAAGGATTGTGGTCATGCGATAAATAAAGAGAAGCCAAAACAGATGTACAAACACATCAAGGCATTCCTCATCGATCCACTCCTTTCACCTAAGAAGGAAAATCAAACCAGTGGCCAGAAGGTGGACTGAGAGTCGGCAATGAATTCATGATTGAATCAGGCTTCTGCAGCTTGCTTGTCCAAATTTTATATAGGATGTACATATATATTGTCGAATATCTAAATTCGATTCTATCAACGATGCAAGAGAGTAATGAAAATTCGCACAACACAAGAATTTACGTGGTTTAGCAGGGAAGATGTTCCACCTACCTACGTGCACAGGGAGAAAAGATCCGTTTCACTAATAACGTAGAAAAGTATACATCCACTCTTTCTCACCCCCTGCCTCTCTTCTAGAGACCCGTTTCGTCCTAAATATATATATAAACCCCACATGGCACAAATTACAAAGTTGCCCACATAGTCTAAAATATTTAGCTTTCCCATATAAATCCTTCTATGACTCAACATAAAACGCCTCTGGCAGCCCGGGGGCGCTGCCACCGCGACCCCCGCCGGGACGGCCCCCTCGGACCCCCGCCCGCTCACCGGGGAGCGGGACCCCCTTGCTGTCCAGTCGTCAGGGGGCCTTTCGGAATCGCCTCATAATCTCTTGGATAGCAGAATACAAGACATCAACATCAACATATATGATTAATTTAAGCTGTGTAATCAGAAGAAAAATAGTTCAACAAAATTGAATTTATGAAGAGTAGGGTCGATAGTATGGGGAAATCTTCTTGTTTCCTTGAGATATTGTGGTACAGACCAATTTTTCTGGTTCATCATGAATTTTTCCAGATAAGTGTTGCAACGTTTGCTTGTAATGCTGTTTTCACGGTACACGAAGCAAATTTATGCCATTATGATGAACATTGTCTCCCGTTTCAGTTCAGCATGAATTCTGTGGCATATTGGTACTCAATATTCTGAGAACCGTTCGCTGATGGAGCTGAAAACATGAAGTAGGTGATTGGCATTGCCACTTTGGAGGAGATTTCGATAACTTTTTGCACCCTCGTCGTGATGATATTACTGGGCCACTTGCTCTGCTCCAATCCACTGAGATACAGCGGATCTCGTGATTAATACAGAATGGGTTGGCTTCAATTTAACTTGCCCGGGCTGCTGAACTTCATCAGATGGTGGTGCAGAGACGGTCAAGATGTTAGTTCCTGTAGCAGGAGGCTGAGGTAGTGAGGCGAGTTTTGGTTCAGCCCAAAAAGTAGTCATGGCCACGGGCTGGTTTTGGCTCGGAACCGGCCCGGAACAGGCCCGGTCAAACCCGGGCCCGCGGTTCGGAACCGGAACCTTCCAATTTATTTTTTTTAAAAAAATAATAATGAATATTTTTTTAAAAAAATTCATTATTTAATTTTTTTTATAAAAAAAATTGAAATCTAATTGCCATGCATTGTAAGTGCATTGATCTCCAATTACAATGCTTGGCTTAAGTGTATTGAACTCTAATTACAAAGCTTGGCTTGGGTTTTATAAACAACCCCTTTGATGGTCTCTTCATTCCCATTCGATGTGGGACTCTCGGCTTGCCTTGAACACCTTTAATGTGAGACTCTTGGCTTGTCTTCATGCAAATGCCAAGAGTCCTACATCGAATGGAAATGAAGAGACCATCAAAAGGGTTGTTTATAAAACCCAAGCCAAGCCATGAGCATGTGAAGTTGTATGCCTTTTGTGGTTACGATCCTTTGCTAGTTAAGAGCAAAGGGTTCCATTGGATCGCCTAGAACCGGACCGAACCAATGGTCCGGTTCCCGGTTCCATAATTTGCCGGTCCGGTTCCTAGTTCTAAAATTAAAGGACCGGTCTTACCGGTCGGTTACCCCTATAATTTTCATTTTGATTATAATTTATATTGAATAATTCATTATTTCATATTTTTATAATTCATTATTTTTTTATTTCATAATTTATTTTTTAAATTTTTAAATTACGAACCGGAACCGGCCGGTTCGGAACCGGAACCGGAACCGGCCGGTTCCGGTTCACACATGACCACGAACCGGAACCGCCGGTTCCGAACCGTGGCCATGACTACCAAAAAGTGTTATCAAATTGCATGAATAGCCATTAGAATGTCCATTCTGAAAGTTGGAGAATTTTCGAAGGGTCGTTTTCTCTGATAAACAAACGGGCTCGGAAGGAGCGATCAACATTAGTGATTCCCATTGGGCATTACCATGGGGATTCTAACACCCATTTTGAAATGTCTAATTTAAGCAATAGCTACTGTCAAGAAAGGCGAATCCACCATTATAGTCCACCATAATGCAAGCGCGTACAAAGCCAGACGGTCTCCCAAGCCCAAGAGCCCTCCATAAATGAACTAAGGTTTTCCCAGACCAAGAGCGACTAAGATCCAAACCTGGACCAAGGTTTTTCCGGACCACCTAGGAAATTAAGAGTATATACATTGCACGACTAAGCGAATCACCACAATGGTGCTTTTAATATTCAAATAATAATCAAAGTTAAGTAAAAAAACATCTTAACATAAGAAACATCAAAACGAACGCATTGTTACATTTAAAAATTGTTATACAAGTTTGGAGCAACTTATACGAATTTCATGAGTTTAAAAAAACTATCCAATATTTAGTATCAACAGATTATTTGACTTTTAAGTTCTTGTTTCATTATACAGAGAGAGATTCAAACTGCTAGAATAAGCTCAAAAATGATCAATCTTTTGTCGTTATAAATCTTTTCATCCTTGTCTAGAAGCCTCTCCTTTTTTGTTTTTTAATATTTAAGATAGGTGATAAACTAAGAACGAGCCTAAGTAACTGATAAGACTAGTTTACAGGCTTGAGGAATATAGGTGAAGTGCATATAGAGGCCCACAGGACGCCAAAATGATAGGTCTAGATAGCCTTTCCTTTTGCGAAACCAGGTACACATGCATCCTAATTTGTGCATATTAAGCGACGTGGAACTTCGTCCTTGCCCAAAGGGCTCTTTTAATATAAGTGATAAAGTAGAAACAAGTTTTAGAGAATCAGTAAGATTGGCTCACAAGCTCGAGAGATAGATGTAAAGTGCATATAAAAAGCTCAAGAAATGTGAAATGGGTAACCCACAATATGAGTTTTCTGGCATCAAAGTGCCATGAATGTTTAATCATCTACTTGGCCACATTCAGTAAAAACTTTATGGACTGCATTAACATAATTTGTATGAGATGTCAAATGTAAGGAGTATTGTTAAATTGTTCCCAAATTTAAAGGGGCTAATATCACAAAAAATCCCAAACTAATATACTCATATTACATTTATCTCAAATTTATTTTCATGTCATAAAAATCCTAAATTGGTAGATTGTGCCACGTTTACCCCGAAATAATTTCCAAATTAATTTAGTAAATGGCCAAAAAAAATATATTGCCACACTAAATCCCTTTGTATTAGAGGTGAGCATGGTCCAAATTGAGCTGATCCAACACCTAACTCAAAGACCAACCCACACAATATTGGTTCCCAATTTTTGGGACCGAGGACCGACCCTATTGAGCCTGGGATTGAGGATTGGACCGACCCTATGGGGCCTGATCCGGTTCTAAGGTCAACCCGAGACCAACCAATTCTTCTTCTTTTTTCATTTTTTGTGTTTTTTAAAAGGACAAAAGTATTCTTCTTTCTTTTCTTAAACCCATCCATGGGTAGCTCATTGGTTATAGGCGTACTTGAATTGTATGGTTAAGCGCCTTTGGTCCTGGTTCGATTCTCCAGAGCAGCCTTGTGATTTAAGTGGGGGCCATGGTGGTGGGTTCTGGCTAGTCTCCCCGAAGAATAGTCGAGGTACGCGCAAGTAAGCTCTCGACACCTCGGTTACCAAAAAAAAAAATATTCTTTGAAATTACTTCGTTAATACAAGAGTAAGCAACCAAACTGTGAACACCAGTACAAATCAAATACAAATCTAAGATAATGCAACGACATGAATCTCTACTTGCCAAAAGTAACAAACCATAGAAAACGAATACGTGAAATAAAATTAAACAATAAAAAGTTCAAAATATGTAGCATAAATCATGAATTATATAACTTTAAGACGCATACGTTGACCGCGAATGATGATCAATCTAAATTGCTAAGATCTTAGAGCCTTTGTCAGTGATGATTTACACAAGCGAAGAATAAATGAGCAGGGAGAGAAAGGGAGAGAGTCGTTGCTAGAGTGAGAGAGAGAAAGATAGATCGAGCCGAAGGTCGAGAAGAATCTGAAATTGAGGAAGAGAGTCAGAGTGAGACTTAGAGAGATGGAGAGGAGAAGGCAAAAGATAAAGAGGGGTTGTGCACTTTAGGTAATATATCTAGGGTTTGGAAAAAAAAAATTACAAGGTTTGTGAATCTCGAGATCAATAACCAATCCGCACAGTTCACGTTCCAACGATCTCAGGATCGGGATTGACCTAGCCCCCTTACGAACCGGACAAAGATCGGCCAGGTTGGGCCGGTCTAGGGTCGATCTAAGGTCAATCCTAGACCGATGCTCGGTCCTGCTTTGTCTTGTCTTTTCTCATCTTATTAAGTGGAGTTCTATTAAATATTAAGAGAAAATGCTAAGATTTTCTTTTTAATATAATAATTTTCTTTTGCCATATGAGCAATTAAAGTCAAACTTTCTTGCTACCTATGCTTGATCTACGGAGCACTCTTGAAGTTGACACTTCTAAACTATTATTAAATTGCACACCCAAATAGACTGTTGTTGTTAGCTTAATTTAAATCTTGTAGCGGATGCGCATTGACTTTTTGATAACTCAAAATATCTGAAATTTTTACAATATACATAATCGGACATGTAAATTCTCATATAATTTTTTTTTATACAAAACCTTTTCATGTAATTTTGAATCTTAGCGGAAAAATAAAATGTTCCATTATGCTTTGCAAAAAAGCACAAAAGCCCACAATTTGATTGGAAGTTACCGTATGGTTTATTGATCATATGGACCAATATCATCTCAACCGTTAATAATGTAAGTCTCATTGTGTGACCCACGTTATCGACCATTGAGATTGGCTTAATCTATTTAATGAATAGACATTTACTATTTTATCATAATCTCTATAGAAAGTGCTATTGCCTTCCCCTGCTTTTGATGACCTCTGTTCTAACCAAGAGCTTCAAAGTCCTCCTGTCATTGGCTGTTCCAAAATCTCTGTCTGTTTTTGACTTTTGACGGCTTCATCAAGGAAGCTCCTTTGAATCTTCTTCCCAGTAAACACCAAAAATTAGCAGACAAAAGGATATACCGCCATTAGCAGATTGACTTAATCGCCATCTCTGCACAGTCCAATGGTATCACATTCTTAATAGAGAAGAAAAGGAAACAGCCTCTTCATTTCTTGATCAAACCCACCCCGTTTCCGCCCTCCAAAAGCGACCCACTCCTCAGAAAACCTCAAGAACATACCCACAAAAGAGCAAACAAGATAACCAAAACTCGATGGGAAAGTGCTTCAGCTTTTCAGCCACATATGACCGATGGTTGCGCTTCTCCTTTTCCCGGGCTGGCCTGAAATCGACCATCACCGACCTCGGCGACGGCACCGTCATGCACTGTTGGGTCCCCAAGACGTACAACCCCAACAAGCCCAACTTGCTCCTCTTGCACGGCCTTGGAGCCAGCGGAATGTGGCAGTGGAACATGTTCGTCTCGCGTTTCATCGAGAGATTCAACGTGTACGTGCCTGATCTCTTGTTCTTCGGCGACTCCTACACGATCCGGCCGGAGCGGACCGAACAGCTTCAGGCTCAGTGCGTCGCAGGTAGGACCGTCGACTTTCTGATAGACAGGATAGCACATGACTCCAGCAAGACTGACTCGGATCAGCATTTGACCCGTTTTGCAGGAGTCTTGAAGGCTCAGGGAGTGAGAAAGACGAATGTGGTGGGGGGAAGTTACGGCGGGTTCGTGGCGTATAGCTTGGCGGCGCAGTTCCCGGAGATGGTGGAGAAGTTGGTTCTGTGCGGTGCAGGGGTTTGTTTGGACGAGAAGGACATGGAAGATGGGATGTTTCAGGTGGGAGAAAAAACATTAGATAGACTCGTTTCCTGAATGGTGATAACGTTGCAGAAACTACTTGTGTGTATTTCTTGTGTGGGGTTCAGTGCGGGTCTTACTGTTTCTTGATACTCGTGATAATGGAACTGAGTCTGTCTTTGGGCAATCTCGTCTGGCAGGTGAAGAGCATAGACGAGGCCGTGAGTATCATGGTACCACAGACGCCGGAGAAGATGAAGGAGATGCTCAAGGTCCTCTTTTACAAGCCGGTGACAAAAATTCCCACTTGCTTTATGCAGGATTTCATTGATGTAAGTCGACGAAAATTCCCACTTACAAATATCTTAGCTGCATGTTTGTGTTTTCGCACATTGCCTACGAATCTTAGTTTAATTGATGCCAAGTGTTCAGTTTTCATTTCCATTGCTAGCGAAATTCTCGCCCTTCCTTCTCCTGATTCATAATGAAGTTTGTACAGTTAATTGTCAGGTAATAGCTACATTGAATGGGGAAGTAGAATCTTTACATAGCTCTCCTGTCTTTTTATGTTATCATGTATGCGACTTCTTGACCATACTTAGTAGTCTTCTTCACATTTTATTGCTCAAGATTAGGAGGTATCGGGCTGATTACATTGTAAATAGAACGGCCTCTGCTATCAGAGAACAGAGTAAACACCATGTTATTTGTCGATACTATGGGAGTTTGTACAAGTGCAAGGACGTGAACGTTTTGGTCGAACTAAAGTCACCATTCAGCATTCTACCCTCGACTATCGCAGCTTTGTTTGCTCTAACCCATAATTGAGGTCTAGAATTAATGCATTGGTGTCGTTTAGTCCCCGAATCTCGACTATACGGAACATTTCAGACACTAGACAAAATGAACAAGTAGTTTGTTACCCACCCATGGGTAGCTTAGTTGGTTAGGGCGTACTTGGGATTGTGTGGTTAGGCGCACTGGTCCCAGGTTCGATTCCCCAGCTGAGCACTTGTGATTTAAGTGAGGGGCCATGGCGGTGGGTTGCTGTGCTAGTCTCCCCCGACGAATAGTCGAGGTGCGCGCAAGTTGGCCCGGACACCTCGGTTACCAAAAAAAAAAAAAAACAAGTAGTTTGTTTCTTGTGAACGTAGACTACACAAGATGTCTAGTTATGAAGGCTAGCAGAAATAAAACGGTGGGTTGTGATACAAAGTGCTGACTCTCACTTTCATCATTCTCATATCAGCTGTGCTGTTTCAACAAACTAATGAAAAGCTAAATATTTAGATTTTATTTGATGGTGTTTCTGACGGGCTAATCTTGGAAAAGTTTATCTCGGTCGCTTAAGCTTTGTGGCATTTCAAGAAAGGTCCCCATGATTGTTTGCAGTTTCTGGGCACAGATTACGTTCAAGATTGGACAGGGCTGATCATTTCCTTACACAAAGATAGGAAGATGTCTAATCTTCCCAAGATAACTCAGGTTTCTTTCTCTCGAAATCTGTCCTCTCGATCGGACTCAAGCAATTGACTCAGTTATTCACATTGATTTTGCCAAGTTCTTCTCTTTTCTTTGGACATCCTCTCAAGCCATGGATCTTTCCTGATGCAGCCAACACTGATAATCTGGGGGGAATATGATAAAGTCTTTCCATTGGAATTGGGTCACAGATTAAAGAGGTTTCCCTTCCACGCTTTGCTTTGGTTTTTCTACTTTCTTTAGAAGCTCGACTCTCTAGCAAGCACTTATATAGACAACATAATTGGATAAAAACAAATCTTCAGAACCGAAGTGTTCTTAATCACTGAGACCCCTTCAGTTTGAACTTTCAATGTTAATGTGCATCCAATTCCAGGAGGATCAGTTTTTGCTGAATGGCTCTTGGTAAACTTTCTTGATGGAATAACCTCCTGCTTCTTTTTTTTGTCATTCGAATGACTTTGGCCAGGCATTTGGATGAACATGCACAATTAGTGGTTATAAAGGATTGTGGTCATGCGATGAATGGAAAGGAGCTGAAAGAGATGTACAAACACATGAAGTCGTTCCTCATAGATCCACTCCTTTCACCTGAGAAGGCAAATAAAACCAAAGGCCAGAAGGTGCACTGAGAGTCAGCAATGAATTTGTAGTCGAATCAGCCTTCGGCAGCATGCTTGTCCAAGTTATATACATATTAATATAAGCTATGTAATTAGAAGAAACATAGTTCAACATATTGAACCGATGAAGAGCAAGGCCGATAGAATGGGGAATATTTCCTTTTTCTCCTCGAGATATTGCGTTACAGACGTATATTTTTGGGTTCATTGTGAATTCTGCTAGATTATTGTTGTAATGGTTGCTTGTAATACTGATTTCACAGTACACGGAACAAATTTATGCCATTGCGGTGAACATTGTCTTCCATTCCAGTTCAGCAGGGGCATATTCCGAGAACCGCTCACTGACGGAGCTGAAATCATGAAGCAGGTGCTTGGCGTCACCGCTCTACCGAGGGAGAAATTGATAACTTTTCGCACCCACCCCTTAACATGATTAATATAGATGCTAAACTTCATCAGATCATGGTGCGGAGTCAGTCAAGATATTAGTTCCTGTAGCAGGAGGCTGAGGTAGTGAGGCGAGTTGGGGTTCGACCCAAAAGGTGTTATCAAGATGCATGAGAAGTAGCCATTAGAAGTTCCATTGTAAATCTGGATATTTTTAAGAACTAGACGTTGCCCTGAATTTTCGGAGGGTCATTTTGTCTGATAACCAAACAGGTTGGGAATGAGCAACCAATATCGGTGATTCCATTGGGCATTACCATAGGAATTCTAACACCCAATTTGAAATCTCCAGTTTAAGCAATAGCTACTGCCTAGAAAGGCGAATCCACCGTTATAGTCCACCAAGATGCAAGCAGGTACAAAGTCAGAGGTTCTCCCAAGCCCAAGTGCCCTTCCTAAAAAGGTTTTCCGAGACCAAGAGCGTTTAAGACCCAAACCTCGACCAAGGTTTTTCTGGCTCACTTAGCAAATTAAGAGTATGCCTTGTACGACTAGGCCAATAACCACGATGGTACTTTTGAGGAGTTATTATTTGAATTATAATTGAAGTTAAGTGAAAAACATCTTAGCATAAGAAACAATCAAACGAATGCATTATTACATTAGAAAATCGTTATACAAGTTTGGAGCAACTTATACGAATAAATTCATAAGTTTGATATAGCAACTCATTATTTTTGTTTTAGTAAAAGTATTTGTGAACTCATACATATTCTTTCTAATTATAAGAGTTACATAAAGGGGAAGAGAAGGAGGGGAAGTAAATAGGTACAGTCGAGATGAGAGACGAGAGTGCTAGTGTTGTTTACTAAGTAGGATAGCAGAAAAAGGTATAAAATGTCTCGTTACTTGATTTTAATAGCTTTCATTGTATAAAAAGATTTTGGCTTTCCTACTCTCGTGATGCATTTCATTTTCTACGAAACCAGGTATATGTACAGCTTTACTTGTGCACGCCAAGCAAAAGAGATGTACAAACACATCGAGGCGTACCTTGTCAATCCATTCCTTTCACCTAAGAAGGAAAATCAAACTAGTGGCCAGAAGGTGGGCTGAGAGTCGGCAATGAATTTGTAGTTGAATCAGTCTTCTGCAGCTTGCTTGTCCAAATTTTATATAGGATCTACATATATGTGATCAATTTAAGCTGTGTAATCAGAAGAAACATAGTTCAACAAAATTGAATTTATGCAGAGTAAGGCTGATAGTACGGGGAATATTTCCTTGTTTCCTTGAGATATTTCAGTACAGAAGAATTTTTCTGGTTCATCATGAATTTTTCCAGATTAGTGTTGCAACGTTTGCTTGTAATGCTGTTTTCACGGTACACGAAGCAAATTTATGCCATTGTGATGAACATTGTCTCCCGTTCCAGTTGAGTTCAACATGAATTCTGTGGCATATTGGTTCTCAATATTCTGAGAACCGGTCGCTGATGGAGCTGAAACATGAAGCCGGTGATTGGCATAGCCACTTTGGAGGAGATTTCGATAACCTTTCGCAAGCTCGAGGACCGCTCGTGACATTGAGAGTCGTGTGATGATATTAATGGGATAATTGCTCTGCTCCCATCCACGGAGACACAGCTGATCTCATGATTAATATAGATTGACTTTGCTTCAATTTAACTTGCCCGGCCTGCTGAACTTCATCAGATGATGGTGTAGAGAAGGTCAAGATGTTAGTTCCTGTAGCAGGAGGCTGAGGTAAAGGAGGCGAGTATTGGGTTGTAATCAAAAGGTGCTATCAAGATGCATGAGAAGTAGCCATTGAAATGTTCAGTTTGAGGGATAACTATCACTTAGAAAGGCGAATCTATCATCGTAGACTACGATGCAAACACGTACAAAGTCGAGCGCTCTTCTAGGCCCACTTGCCCTCCATAATTGAACTGAAATTTTCCGAGATGAAGAGCAAGTAGGATCCAAACCTGGGACCAAGGTTTGTCCGGACCACATAGGAAATTCGGAGTATGCCTTTACGACTAGGCCAATTGCCAAGATGGTACTTTGAGGAGTTGGTATTCAAATTATGATGGAAGTTAACTAAAAAAATTAATTAAAAAAATATTTCAACATAAGAAACAATCAAATGAATGCATCATTAGATGAGAAAATTGTGTATTAAGTCTGGAGCAACTTATAAGAAGAAATTCATGAGTTTGATATAGTAGTATTATTTTTATGCGTTCTTTACTATGCATCAAATGCATGCAAATAAAGTTATATGAGAAGAGTATTTAAAAGACTATTCAATATTTCTTAGAGAAAATGATATGGTTAAGCTATTTTTAAGGCGTTCTTTTCTTTGCAAATAGATTAAATTTGTAAAGAAGTTGAAGTGCATTATGTACAAACTATCAAATTACCAATACAGGCTAATTTATATGGTATCATTAGATTACTTGACTTAATAAGTTTTGGATATTTTAGGATAACATAACTATATTAAGATTTTTATGGTTCCCGATTCCAATGTTTCCTTACTTGTTTGATATTTATAATAACAAAAGTTTCATCTTTGTTATTTTTAAGCTTATCCTAGCTTTTTGTATTTCTCTCTATATCATAAAACAAACCCAAAATGATTTCCACCTCACATTTTTCCGAAAAATTCAATGAAAAGCACAGTAAATTATATTATAGCCAAGTGAAGAATATTAAAATTCAGAAGTAAATTGAATATATGACACTTCAAATCACAATGAGTCCTTAACTCTTATCTTTTAAAAACTAAATGTTTTTCATGAAAATTTAGATTCATCTCCTTAAACAGACTAAATCATTGAATAATTATTTTAAAAAACATTAATTTTTTTTCAAACACAAAACATGTGTTCTTTCAGCAAGTGTTACGGCAACGGCCGGCGACTAGCCACAGGTGAGGTACAAGCCTCACCACCGGCCGGCGAGGCTCGAGCTTGCCCGGTGATTGGCCTAAGAAGAAGGAAAAAGAAAAGGAGAGAAAAGAAAAAAAGAAAAATAAATAAATCAATATTTGATTTTTTTATTAAAATTTTTATAAGAACGAACATTTCATTAACTAAGGACCCGAGCCCAAGCGCCAAGAATTCACGCATGGCCTTTGTGGGTCTAGGCCTGAGTACCGAGAATCAGAGTTCGAGTGTCGAGGACCCAAGCATTGCTTTTATGGACCCGTGCTCGGGTGCCGAGACAATAGACAAGGGGTACAATGCTTCGGGGCTGGCCTCGATGGACCGGGCGTGGGCAATGGGGTCCTGGGGCTCGCCGTTGAAGACCTGGTCCTTAACGCCAGGATCCGAGAATCAACATTAGGATTTTCGTGCCCAAGTATAGAGTTTCGGGTCCAAGCATTAATACCTAGCCATATTTTGAAAAATATTTTCCAATTTTTTAAAAAGGATATTATTTTTCTGAATTTACGGAAAACATTTTCCGTTACGAAGAAAATATTTTCCGTTTACTTATTTTCCTAAGCAAACCATTCTCCGGAATATGAGGAAAATATTTTCCCAGAAAATGTTATTCACGAAACAAACAAAGCCCTGACTTTACTTGAATGCATGGGATGCTTTGACACCAGTGATAAACTAATAGACAAATTTAATTAAATAAGGTTTAAGGTAGATAATCAAAGCAAAAGGTTAACTAAGTAAATCCTTAGCAAATGTCATGTCCAACAGCAAAAGAATAGAACCTAACCCATGCATGCAAAAGTAGAGAAGATGCCCGCTCATATGTGAAGAATCGACAGTAAGCCTTTATTCTCCACTTTGACATGATCTTTGCGTCTTTACAGATTCGTTCGTGGATTGATTCCAACTTGCAAGAAGAAGCTTCTCAAGCTTTGGTTCATCGAACAGGCCGCAGCAAACAAAACCAGGCCACTGTAGAACAAACTGCTCCAACGATCCTTCCCTGAGTATGAGACATACGTGCATAAATAATTTTTTTCCCGTTATTAGGGTAAAATAATATGACCCGAAAAACAAATTTTCAAAAAGAAAAATAATGATCTTACTGCTTGGAGAAGAAGCTGAACTCCAGAATATCCCCTCCAGCTGATTATATGTGTAGCAATCCGTGGTGGTGTTATAGCCACCACCACAAACACAAACAAAGGCAAGGCTTGGAGAGTTATCATACCCGCACACCCCACCACTGTTCTCACAAGTTGGGCACTTGGTGTCCATGTGGTTACTTTCGAATGCCCCTTGTGTGTACTTCAGCTCCACCCCGTACTCCCACTGCGTCGGGTCGGTCGGGTAGTCCCCAAGCGACACTACCGGGGCGTACCCGCTACATTTCAAGGCCTGAAGGTCCAACTCACCCTTGCTATCGAAGTTCGCCGGGGAATAGACGCAGCACGTGTTGGTCGGGGAAAACAGTGGCAACCCGAGGGTGAGAACGGCCGGGCATGCGTACATCGAAGCGCACAGATTGGAGGAGCTGCTATCGCATATGGGTGAGCCCTTGATGGTGAGGGAAGTAGCAGGGGGATTGCAATGGAGGAGGACGAATGTCGAGGAGCCGAGCTCGAACGGACCGGACCAGTCGAGACCCAGGTTGGGCGAGGGCTTCATGGAGGTACAAGTGGACATGTAGGGTGGGGAGATGATTAGGGTGGAGGTTGTGTAGGATATGGAGGTTACCAGGTATGAACCGGTGTGGGTGGCGAGGACCAGCTCGTCGTGGTCTTGCACGTGGACACAAGTCACATAAGGGTGGAACCGTGGAGAGCCGCATCCGTAGCCGGTGCCAAAGGGGTACTTGACCGTCAACGAGCCACAGGTGTTCTGACATGCCGGATCGGGGGATTCTGCCGGCCGGAGATTGAGGAGGAGAGTGAGGATGAGGAAGGGAAGTAGAGCATTTTCCATTGGGTTTGATCTATTAGGTGGGCGTCTGTCCTCATATACTTAGATGGACTATTTGGCATGTGGGATCCAAGGTTTTCTCAGTGGGGATGCCACGTGGCGTGTTCTAATTAAGCATTACATAATGACAGGATCAACCTTTTGGAGAATATATTTAGCACGAAAATTAGTAAAATGAATTAGGCGATGAGATTACACGTGGACTACATTGTTTTAGCACCAACAATGTAGAATTGAAAGGGTTAATTAAGCTAATGTTCGCATAAATCAGTCATTTCAAGGTTTCATAACTACTGATAGGGTGGACATATCAGTGCTTTATTGCATGTCAGTTCCTTACAAGAGGTTGTAAGAAGCTTCAAATGAGGTGTCAAACTAATTTACCCTAAATTTTTGGTGCATAGACGATTTCGAATATTGTTGTCTCGTTTTGCACTTTCCCATTTGGTGTCTAATTCCAATAGACAATATCACAAACCAGAGGACAACAGTAGTTGATTTTTTCTAAAGAAATACTAACAATGGGAAAGAAAGAGATGAAAAGGACAATCTGAGGATATCACAAACGGTATTAACAAACGTAGTTCAATTCGTGGCTTGTCGGAGACAATGAAAACATTCTCTGGCCGAATGCTTCATATAGAATTTTACAATTAGGGTCTCAATCATGGTTTGAACAGGGCTAGAACTTGAATTTCGCAACCGAATGCAACCAATTTGCGGCCCACTGGAGTCGGCGGAACGGAACTGCTCCTCTGGAAAAAGAACGAACTCAACCTCCTGTCTTAAAGGACAATTGCTATATGAATTGATGCAAATTCTAGGCAAGAGAGCTAGATGACCAAGAGAAGTAATTCAGATTACCATGTCTGTCACCATGGGCTTCTTTGAAGAACCAAATGCTCATGCCCTCCGAGCCAGGGTCTTGATTTTACAAACCGGATCGCAATATATATGCTAAGAACAATTTACTGACTAATGTTCATGACTAAAACTTAAGCAGCAATAAGAGTCAACGTCCCATATATGCAGAGAAAAATGCATATCCTGAATGTTGCCAATTGTGTGCTCTCAGACAAGTGCATGAGACAGTCTTATTATGACTCATCTGTATAGATGCCAATTGTATGCTCTCTTGCTAGTTGTAACAACCACAGTAAACATTAATTTGTGGTAATCTACATTAAGAAATACAAAGCAAAATCCATATCCTGGATGTCATAGAAGGACGTGTATGAGACTGCCCCAGTCTAACTCATCCTTAAAAATGCCAATAGCATGCTCTTAGGTATGAGTTTGAACAATCACGTGAAAATTATTAGTTCAAAAATATATACAACAGTGTTGACCAGATGCACCCTAAACTCGTGAAGTAGTACTCTAGAGCATGTGTGCATTTATGGAAAGATATTGCAACATCTTCTTTCAAGATGTCGTAACAGAGGATGGAAGTGAATATACTAAGAGGAACACTTGAGCTATATTAGTGCGTCAAGAATCTAGTGACCTTACTCAATCAGTCAACTTTATCTTTGAGGAGTCTAAACCTGACAGCAGAAGGAAAATCTAGCCGGACAGATGCATCTGTTAAGACGAAAAACAAACAGAAGCAAGAATTATTTTTATACTCGAGTGCTTGGAGTTAATGTCTTTAAGAATAAGGGGAAGATAACTAGAACATGTTCATCCATCCTCGTCGTCATCGTCATCATCCCCTCTATCCAGAATGTCCTCATCAGAATCTGTTGCTACATTGCCTTGTAGATGTTGAAGCTGATTAATAGCATCATTCACATCAGAAAGTAAGGCATGCTTAGCAGCTTTAACTGCACCCATCTTCTTTGCATCGACTTCTATTTTGTTTGCTTCCCTGGAAGTAACTTTTACTTCAAGAGCCGAGTTTCTCTTCACTTCCCTGCTATGTAATTGATCAAGGTATTTCTCATGCAATGCTCTGTTTTTAACCTGCTTTAGTACCGGAGGACTCATCAGAGGTATCCTACTTGAGCTACAAAATCTGGAGACTGGCTTCTTATTGCCTGAAGAAGACCTTTCACGGCATTTCAGAAGAGATCCTTGCATTTTCTGTAAATTATCTGGGGTCACAAGTACAGAAGTCAACTCTTTAGTAGATGGATCCGCATTGGGCTCAAGTACAGAGAAAAAATCTGCTTCACATGTTTGGTCCGAGTGATTTTGCTTTTGTAATAGCTGCCTGACAGTTTTGTGTGCAAGAAGACTTTTCTTTTTAGAACTGAGCCTCTTGATCAATGGTTTAGGGGATTTAAGAATCTTGCTTGCTGACAGTGGAGAGCGTTTGATGTAAGATTCAACCCTTCTGTTTGCTCTGGACCGGAGACGAGGTTGAGTCGGGGTTAGATGATCCGAATGAATCTTATCAAAACATTCCTGTGCTGACTTTCCCGGTACCTGTGAGCATTTTACTTGTTAATCGCATTATCTTCATACTTAAGTATCGCACAAGGAACTACTAGAAAATATACCGCAGAAATACAGGTAGCACCATGATTAATGCTTTTAAAAAAAGATTCCAACAAGACATCTGCACTAAATGGCTGCTCTGATGATATAATGTCGTCGATATAGCGAAGTGAACTCTATTACCACTCAGCAAAAGTAAACAGGTGCAACTTTACGCCAATTTATGAAAAGCACTATTCAGCACAGGCAACATCATAATCTCTAGATTTTAAACATGAAGGTGGTGTCATCATAATGTATGATGCTCAAAATTCCTGCTGGGAATGAAATTCAGACTTTTTGTATCCCTTTTCACATGCAAACGAAGAGACGAAAAGAAGGAACACTCAAAGTACTAGAGCAACATATGTGTTAGCATGACTGTTAATCCGAATTAATCCCAACAATTAACAAAAAAATTTTTTGTGTAATCTAAACAAGATACTAAGTTGGTATATCGAAGCCATGGGCCTGCGGCTTCTCATCCTCAAAATAGTGAAAATCCCTCTCAAATCCAATTTGATTTCAAATGATTAAATTTTTAACTCGTTATAGATTAACATCCGAAGAATTCTCAATCCAGAGTCCTTGGTTATCTTTTGGGTTCTCTTTCTATTTGTGTGGATGCCTCAGAAAGGATATTTATCACCTACTCATATTATTTATGATAATAGTCACTTGAAAAACTCATAGACATGCTTTTTAATAGAGAAAAATAAATTTTTTTTTGCACCCAGGTCCAGAATTCAATAATGGCAGAATGAAAAACCATATAACTCGCAACAAAATCACACAAAACTGGTACAATGCTTAATCTATTCTGGAGCAAGATCATAATGATGGCAGAGCTAGTCAGCTCATCATGTCCATTAAGCATCATATTCTAGCTCCTACCTTTTGACTGGAGTGGCTCATTCATAAAGAAGTTGACAGCGAAGTAAAAACAAGCTAAAGGGTTTTCATGTAAATAAATTAAAAAGCAAAATCCACACTCGTTCTTGAAGGGATAGTATTTAGATAATAATTATTAAGAGCTCGTATGGCAGTGCTGTAAGTATACTCCTTACTCTTTAGAATTTCCTTATTTTTCCAAAATTTTAGACCAAGGAAGGCATTTTGATTGATTACTATATATTACCAGTGCTGTTGCTTCTACCTGTGACTACTGGTGCTGTAGTTATGCTGTTTTGTGACTGGGGCCATTACGGTTTTCATCAACATATATATTTAAAGTTTTTCTACAATCTCTCAAATTATTGGAAAAGTAGATAACAAGGATATTTTGCAAATTAACGGTGAAGTTTTCAAAAATCTCTGAGATCACCGTCCCATAAGAGGTGCCGCCTAACAAAATAGCTTTTAAGTGTAGTGCCTTCTGAGTGGATCTTTCCTGCATATTGCGCCAAAAATCTAGGCTAGACATTCTATGCATAGCTGCAAGAGCATATTATATGAACTTGTAAGGTATCATAAACTGCAAAATATCAAAATCAACTTGAATTTGTACAAAATTGATCTTAATTTTTCACTTCAGCTGTCTTGGCATGTTAAACTTCCACCAAAATTAAACAATTGCATGATCTTCTTTCCTCTGCATGAAGTAACTTGACATAAGTTCCAGAAACTTCTATCGTATGTACATCTGCAGGAGTGAATTACCTCAACAAGCGTGGATATGCCTTAGTTAATTACAAACTCCCTACATACAAGTTCCTTATTTACCCGCCATAGACCCCATTAATCATTAACAGCTATTTACTTTCCCCAGATGACATTGGAGGAGCGGTATGTTCCACATAGCATGCCAAGTAATGCTAAAACTCTTTTCAACTGAGAATGCTAGGAGACACAACCAAATAACATAGGATGTAACCTATTATAGGAAAAATGTATGGTATCCACTCAATTTCAACAAACTATAAGGGGGTGTTAGATCCATGTGACTTATCTTTGAAATAACCTCCTAATCTTTGGTCAAAAATAAGTGCTACACTTATAATCTATAGCCTGACTTTTTATTTTAAAAGCGAAGAAGTTCTAAATTTTCCAAGGTTTGCCACTCAACTTCAAGCAAAGTCATGCCAAACAGATCAAGATCATGCAACGTCCTTGACAAGTCTGTAGTATTAACAAATTCCACAATGATTATTCGAATGAGGAAGCGCTATCCTATCATAACAAGATTCGTGAACCAACCCCAAAAAATATGTAACCTTGCAATAGAAAAACCTAGTTGGATATGAGAGACACGAGCTTGCCACATGCCCTTGCAGATGTGCAAAGAAATCACATCATAAGCACCACCATAAACGCACATAAATATTTATGTAAAAACATAAAGAAACAATTACTAGAAAATAGTCCATGAGAGTTGGCATATAGAAACTCACAAATCTAGAAACCTTCTTCCAAAAATGTGGAGTTGGCTTTGCAGAAAAGTAAGCTCTCTGTAATGCATCCTCTTGTTCTTCAGTCCAACCCTGGCAATTCTTATTGCCTTCGTCTCCTTGTTTGCTCTCAGTTAGTGTCTTAAATTTTCCATTTTCTTCTTTTTTAAGGACGGGTAGACTAAGCACACATTGTCTAGTGCCTCTTTGTGTTTCTGCTACAAATACTTCACATTTATTAACAACTCCATCTTCTATTGGATCCTTCTTATCCTCATCGTCAGTCTTTCTACCCAACAAGCACCTACTTTCTCTCTTTGGCCTATGGTCAGTCCTCTCAACTTGCCCGGCTATATTCTGCTGATTAGAATTCCTCAACGATTGATCAAAGCTGCGAAACTCCTGAACCCCACAATTCAGTCTAGGAGACCTTCTCAACCCAGCACATGGAGTTGTACTTCTCCCCAAGCCATCACTTGAATTTCTTTCAGGGTAATCTTTTACCCGAGTAATCAGCATAGAATGTTCTTGTTCCCTAAGCCCGCCATTAAATCTCGGAGATCTTCTCAACCCACTACATGGAATCGTGCTTTTCCTCAAACCATCACTGAGATCTGTCGCTTTCCTTGAAACTCTTCGTGGGTCGTCTTTTACCAGGCTATTCACCTCAGAACGTTTTCGCTTCGAGCCAACGGGCGTATCCAAATGGTCAACCCGGTCGTCATCGGACTTCAGCCCGCCAATCTTCGTACATCGAGATCCCGTGGAGCTTTTCGGACTGAGAAACCTCGGAGATCGTCTCAGGGGAGGGGACTGCCCACACACGGCGGCACCCCTTCTGTTCGGCATTTCAACAAGCACTCGGCACATAACCTGTTTTCAGCGCGAAGGCTTGAGAGGGGCTCTGCTACAAAAAACCCAATAACGCGCTGACAAACAGAGAAGACATCACAAAAATGGAGGGCGCAATTTGCTGGGATGAACCTTCAAATGTACAGTATGGAGTGCAGTTTTCCCGGTAAAACCAACATACCCAACAACATAAACGGAACTTCTACCTGCTTGATGGCGGCGGTCGCCGGAAAGCGGATCGCGCGGCGGCTCGTGGGGGCGGCAGGGTGACTGGTTCCGGCGGCTGCTACATCAGAAATCCGAACGAGAGAGACGAGCAAGAGCACGATTGGAGGGAAAGATGGCATTTTGAATTTGATGGGCTTCGTTATCTGGGAAAAAGAAATGGGGGCCCATCGGGTGAATTCAATGTAATCCCAGGGACTACATTGAATATTTTCATATAGTTCAGGGATTAAATTGTACATGTACCAAAAGTCCAGGGACAACATTGAACAAATTAAAAGTTTATGAATTACATTGCATATTAGGTCAAAATTAGAAACTGTTTGAGTCATTATCCACTTTTTTTCCCTCAAATAATTCGTAATTTTGCACGCTTTTCTATTTTGCCGAACCAACAAAAAAAAGGCAAGGATATTTCCACACATATATTTTGGGGTCGGGTTTGGGATTCGTCCTGCGGGTAACCCGGAACCCAAACCCAAGGCTTATGTCACCAACATAGTTTCTCTGAAATATACAAAGTCACTTGAGTAACTGTGTACACCTCAAAATAGAAATCGACTTATGCAATGTACATCCCTTTAGCAATATTCATCGTTTCTACTTTATTTTTTATGATTCATAGAATTTCTTCAAGAATTTTAAATTAAAGTGGTTGCATAATCTAGATTTGCATTACACCAAGAGCATAATCGCTATTAGAGGGAAATAATAATCATAGCGGTTTCAATAATCTGAAGAGTACTCGAGAACTTAAATGGTACAGGTTTAGGATATACTTAAACGTTAGTGGGGCGACTTTGAGGCAAGATTAGCCGTCCCAAACCCGTCGCGCTACCATTCTTAAATTTTCCAGGTCATGCGCTTAGACTTCAATCTTACGCAATATATCTATGATCTTATAAAACATACAATATTGACCTATAAATTAGCACATAATTTTTTTCATAAATGAAAATTTAAAAAGACTTGAGGTTAATATTTTAACTACACCCCATAATAAATTGCAATATTACATTGAGTACATACCCTTTGAAACATTTCTAACTTCAAAAGATTGGAAACTAATAAGATGTAGATTGTTCACTAAAGAAGTAAGCTTAAGCATGAACTAAATTACAACACCCAAGAGGATATTTGATTTAAGGACAATCTACTTTCTTGAACGCAAGAGCTTCTTGAAGAAACCTCTCAAGGTTGTCATATGATGAGCCACCAACGGAAGTTGCAGCTTCAGCTTCCCTCTTCCAGTACTGAGCTCTCTCCCTCATCCTCTTCCCTTCTTCACCTTCCATCACTAGCCTCACCAAGCCCTCAATCTCCTCCCTCCTCACATCATGATCAACCTCCACTCCAATCCCCCACTCTGTGCAGGCATACCTGCAATTCGTCTGCTGATCTGCAAAAAATGGCCAACATATCACGGGCACTCCTGCACTGACACTCTCCATCATTGAATTCCACCCGCAGTGTGTCAAAAATGCACCTACCGATGGGTGATTCAGCACCTCATTTTGCGGGCACCAACTTGCCAGCATTCCTCTGCCTCTGATTCCGTCGAGGAACTCACGTGGCAGGGTCGCCGACTCGCCCCTCACGATGTCGGGCCGGACAATCCAGATAAACGGGTGGTTGCTGTTCACGAGCCCCCAAGCGAACTCCTCCAAATGCTTCCCCGACATCACCGTCACGCTGCCATAGTTCACGTATACCACTGAATTGGGTTCTCTTTTGTCGAGCCATTGCAAGCATTCCGTGTCCTCCTTCCATAGGCTCGACTTTATAGATTTGGAGTCAGCCTCCTTCTCGTGGCAAGTTGCCAGCAAGGGAAGCGGGCCTATGGTGTATATGGAGGGGAATTTGATGGCGATTGCATCTAGGACCTCACGCTCGAAGGTGTCAAATGTATTGAAAGCAATCGCCGAGGATCTTAGGCAGTTCTGAGATTCTTCTCCCATGAAATCGAACATGATGCTTTTGGGGTCGGTTGTCCTGATGTGACTGGGGATGTCTTTGAGGCGAATGTTTCTCATGCCGGGTATCCAATCTATAGGCGTGTCCAGTGTGCCATCGCTGATGAATTTCTCATCTGAAATTCACAACAACATGATTGTCACATTCACATGAAGCACACAAGGTACTAAATGCCAACAACAGGTTTCGTTGAAAAGTGAGCAATGTTTAACATCTGGCGTCCTTGTATACTCATTTACAACTTTGGTTTCAATCTCAGAAGAAGAGCTTCTTGATTCTCTCAATCCTTACTTGTGTTGAGCAATCAGGGCTGAACAAGTCAGATTGTCACTTTTCATATAAGGAACACGAAGTACTAAATACCAATTAGAGTTTTCACTTTCAAGTTTGAGCACAGACACAAAAGGTACAAAAGGTTCGTGATATTCTTTCTCTCGAGTCCTTACTATTCAGCAATCAAATGGGCCAAAAAGGACAAGATTGCAGAGAAGTTAAATCAAACAGTACAATAACTACTCTCGTATACAAAATTTGAAAAAAATGAGAGCAGGGTAATCAAAAGTACCTACCTTTGAATGGGAATATCCCTCTCCTGACAAGTTCTCTATAGTGCAAATACGCCATGAAGCTGCAAGCAGAGGCAGTCCAGAACTGAACCTCAGGAACTCCTATTTCCTGGGCTGCATCAATGGCGAAGCTCATGACGCCATCCGAGACCACGCAGCTCACTCTAGGGACATCCTCAGACGAGTTCAACCTTGCCAGGAGTTCCCGGAAAGGTCCGAGGCAGTTCTTCCTTACAGAGTCGCAGAGCGAGGGGACGTCCTGGGTGGCATCGCTGTCGGACGGCGGCAACCCGTCTGGGATGGCCTCGAAGCGGAAGTCGGGCAGGCCCTTCACGGAGTCCGGCCCGTGGGACCGGATCAACCGCCGGTGGTTGTGCTCAGTGTTGACGACGGTGACGTGGAAGCCCCTTGAGTGGAGGAGCTTGGCGAGGTGCATGATGGGTGTGACATGGCCTTGAGATGGGTATGGAACGCACACTGCATGAGGTCTTTTTCTTGCTGAAGCATAATCCAAGCCCATATTGCTCGGTTACTCTGATTTCTTGCCAAAAGGACTCGAGTATTGTCTGATGTCGATTGGATCACTAATACCGACAGTCTTCCTTCTTTTTCGATCGCGAGAGATTGGAGAATCGAATTTTAGAGCTCTAGACAGCCGTCTTAGAACAAAAAAGATGGAAGTCGATGATGATTAACAGTGAAACGTATATGGAGCTTTGCAAAGACGAGACAGTGAGACTTTACCACTTTATTAGCCTAATGATTCTTTCTGTGAATTGATGACACTGATGTGACAAAACTAATACCAAACAGTCAACCTTTTATGCCTCAATTTGTGGAGATACTTGAAATGGGGTTCCTTTCTCTACCTGGCATTTTCTCCTAGACTGAGGGGTGAGAAAGGGCCGCCGCTCCATGATCGCTTGACGCTTGGTGTCATTTTGAAAACGACAACTTTGCTTAGCTGAGGATAACAAGAACCAAAAATAAAACAACTGTGAACAAAACCCCAGAAGAACTTTGGCAGAAGATTGAGATTTCAAGAAGGGTTCTCCTGTTTTAAAGATTTTCGAACAAGACGGGCCAAAAATTTGGGGACCACAACGTAGGAACAGACGGTAGAAAGGGAATCAACTACAGCAGAAAATCCAAGAACAGCGAAAATTCAGTGGAAACCACAGGAACTTCCCTTGTACTATACATTATAGGTAGTGTACCTATTGTTTTGTTCAATGTGACGGGCTCAATTTGTTTAAAAAGACAAGTTAATTTAACAGCTCTAGCATACTTGGAAGGGCTTGTCATTTTTTTTATTCCCTCTCTCCTTATAGGGAAGATCCGCTATCTGGTAAATGTCTTATTTTCTTTATTATGCAAACTACGGTAATTTGAAAATTATTTTCTTAATTTTAATCGTCGATATCGCTTTTAAAATTAAACAGACGAAAATATCTTTATCGTTAACAAGAATAATTGTCTTGATAAAGATTGTTGTTGGTTATGAAAATATTTTGCGTTGACTTGTTTTTTGGACGATAAGAAACCAAAATTGAAAAAAAAAAATTCTGAATTAATAATTTTCCATAAAGCAAATGGATGACTATCATATCAATCATTCCAATTATTTGAACTAACATCAAGTGTCTTCGGTCAATTTGATTGTACCAGGATTTTTGGGATGGCAACTTTTCAAAAGACAAACTTGAAAACAGGGTATATTGACATTGAGACATTCAAGAAACTTCTCAAGGGAAATGATTCGTTAAACCCTTTATTCCTGTACAACCATAGCAGGGTTCTACGGATCCGCATCCAATGATAATCGAATCACAATGAGTTACGACTTCACAAAAACATGCAACTTTCAACACGAACCCAATCATTTGTCTTATCGTAAGAATGATGATGCAGGAATTTACCAAGAAATGCACATTTGAAAAGAACCAGATCTTTTCGGTTCCTTCCTCATAGACCTGAATTGTGGAGCGTGGCCATGATAGCTAATTCGCAAGAGGATCATAACATCCTACATTGGCTGCTTGCACAATCCTCTGATGTTCACGATTCAGTTCCCTTGCTCATCATAGGGGCTTTAGTTTGGTTGATTTCTAACTGCTTCGACCCTTCCTCAGGCAAACTTGTGGATTCATTTGTGTGTTCTTGATTAGGTCCCCGTCGGCTTTCCCATAGTTTCCCTGTCTTCCCAATTGCAAGAATCAGCTCGAGTTGTTTCTGCTGCTGATCCTGCCGGAAGTCAAAGAAGAACATTAGCAGTAAACTTAGAAGAGAGCATGTCATTTTCTAAATGCGCGATTCCACTGCTATCGAATTGTCCTGAGATGAATAATTTTATCTTTCACACTAAGTCGAGGTCTGGAAAGTCATTAAAAACCTGCATTTCCAGCAAAACCTTCTGCATTTCACCAAGCTCCTTTTCAAGAATGTCTTCTGGCATTGCTAATGCACGAGTAGCCTCTGAATTCTTTTGAGCCAGAACTGCAGTCTTAAGACAAAAAAAATATATCGTTAGAGCAGATGCGACCCTTTCTAATGATTTTGGAAGCAAAGTTACTTCCTAAGGGAGATGCAAGAACTTTAATTAACTGGAAAGTAATTTTAGTAAATAGTTCGACTTTAAACACTCCATCTCGTCCCTTTTCTATCTTGTAGGCATTTCCACTATAGAGTCTGTGGCACCAGGTGGCCTACCATGGGTTCTCTCTATGCCAAAACAGCTTTTTTTTTGTCAATTCCTGGACCATTTGATGGATTAAAAATGCCCAATTCACCCTTGGGCATTTTTTATTTTCCTATCTGGTCATTTACAAGTAAATAGAAATCCTCAAGAAGTTCTACTCAGCAATTGTCTTATATTATAGTGACTCCATATGATGCGGGTGCATTTCTCACTTTTGAACACCCCGCATTTGCCTGGTGAGAATGAATGTTTCCTGGCCTTTGAATCAAAGCAGGATCAATTATGGAGAAGTATGGATAGATGTGCTCCAAATCAGTTCCTTAAGACAATGCAACCATATGCATGTTTCCAAGTGAGAAAATGATACATATAATCTTCTTCTAATCTCTTGGTCAAATAAGAGCAACAAAAAAAGAAAAACATAACAGCATGTGTTCGTCATAAAATTGACAGAGCCTCATTTACTTTACTAATCATAGTTGATCCACTATTCCAGGTACTTATTGTAAGTGATCTCATGGATTTCTATTGACGGACGATATAATTCCAAAATTTGAATGAGGACGCATAGTTATTGGCCCAACTGCAGGGTTTCCTAGATACCTCCAACCAGAAGGACTGACTTTGACGAGTTCAGACTGGAGAGAGCTGGTAAAAATGGTTACAGTATCTAGATTACAGATACAATTCCCAAGATAGTCACTCTTTCAAATCTGCATGCCCTAATTTACACCCTTCATGCCCTCACATAATTTTGCCAAATTGATTCATAAGTCACCATACCATGACATCAAGTATAAATTCCCTTCATTCCACTATGATGCGTGCATCTTCTTACACATAATCAGGCATGTCAAGCTCCCACCAATGTTGATTGGCTCAATTATTAACATTCTAGATCCACATTATCTGTAAAGATTGACATTCTCTTCTCTGGAACAACAAAAGGACGATCTCTGTCAAATGATTACTGTCCAATTTCCTATATGCTGCTTTCATCAATTATGAGATGATTTTCTTAGCCTCTTTCTGCAGAAGTAAATTAGTGAGAACCTATAGTGCCCGCCATCTCAAATTTGGTAACAATTACTCCCAAAGTCTGGGGTCTAGTACCCCGCTGCATGAAACCGCATTTGCAGTTACAAGCTTTACGATGCTGTACATGTAGACTTAGTAGTCACATGCATTATGTGGAGCAATAGGACTAAGTTCAAGCGCATCACTTAAGTCTGACCGGGTGATACTGACATCAATAATGGGAAGGAACCAGTGGCGGAAAAGGATAGTTGAATGGGCAGGAGGAAAGACTTTTATTTCTGTTTGTTGAAGGATAGTTGATTTCTTGGAGTTGAGGGATACAGGGACATTGATGACTTTGAGTGTATTTTAGTTAGCGTCCTGCCTTCAATAATATCATCTTTATGCTCTCATGCCATTTGTCTCTCATTACTTTGCATTCTTGGGCCTGTACTCCTATGTTCTACATTAACTTCACCTGTAGAAAGCAAAGGAAAACCTATCCATTCTGCATTAACTTTTCACTAGATCAACAGGTAACATGCTTGGATCCGAAGCATGGCTCATTTCCCTAATTACACCGGTCAAATAATAAATCCATAAATAATTAGATAGTTGAAGCTGAAGTCTCTAAGTGTTTGATCTTTTAGCCTCCCTGGTAAATGAACGCACGCTGCAGGAAAATCTTCAACACTAGAGGTTCTTCGGTTTCACATGAACCATCAGGTAAGACTCTTGACCACATTCTTTTGGTTAGATAATTGGCAGCCTCATAGGCCACTCTTGCTTACATATTCGAGGAGTGTTGTACTTGCTTCTGGTTTAAATCTATAGATTAAAGTTTGTGAGCATCCTCATGGCAACAGGTGGAATTTGAGGTCTTCCAGAAAGGTAGAGTGAACGCAGATTCAACAACCATTGTCGAATGATATAAATGTTACCAATATCAATGCGTTAGACATGCAGCTGCTTCAGGTTGCCTCTCTATTTCAGCAGGTGCTACAGTGACGAACAGTGAAAGTGCTCCAGTAATGAACAGCGAAGTGCTACAGTGATGAACAGTAAAGTGCTACAGCGATGAATAGTGATTTGTCGGCCTCTTTCTGCTATAGTATCGGCGCCGCTTCGGTCATGTGATCTTCTTTTGAGTGATTTTATTTTTCATCTTCTTCACTATCATCTGCTATGGGATTAGCGAAGATGAAGAATAAAATCACTAAAAAGATCACATGACCGAAGTGGTGCTGACACTATAGCAGAAAGAGACCAACACATCACCATTAATCACTGTAGCAATTTTACTGTTCATCACTCTATAAAAGTCCATCTCTTCACTTAAAAGACACGCCTTTCTTTCCCCATTTAGAGAAGTTTTTCTCTTCCTCTCCCTCTGATAGTTCTTCTTCCTCCCATCCTTAAATCATCCTCTTCTACCTTTGTATCCCAATTACTTTGTAAGTTTTCTTAGTCACTTTAATCACTTTTCTATAAAAGGCGAAAGCGATATATAAAATAATATGCAGAATGATAAAACCAACCATGTAGGTGATATGTACTGATATTGAAATGATAAGAAAGTTATAGCGTAATTGAAAGTTATATTAAGCTGAAAACCATCAACAAGGGCGGTAATCCGCACTCAAGGGAAGTGTGATCTGAAGACTACTAAGTGATTAACCAACCATGAAAGGGTTGGTAACCTTACATGTAATAAAGAAAAGTGATTAAAGTGACAAAGAAAAAATTACAAAATAATTGGGATACAAAGGTAGAGGGGGATGGTTTCAGGATGGTGGGAAGAAGAACTATCAGAGGGAGAGGAAGAGGGAAAGAACTTCTCTGAATGGGGAAAGAAAGGTGTGTCTCTTAAGTGAGAAGAGATGGATTTGTTGGCCACTTTCTGCTATATATATCGAGCTCTAAGCTGTTGAAATAGAGAAGCAACCTGAAGCAGCTGCATGTCTAACGTATACACTCTTTCAGTCTAAAAAATTGTGTTCTTTAACATTGTCATGGTGGCAGAGCCACGAGAATCTGAAAACCTAATCTGAAAGCCTAATCATAAACCATAAATACACCAACCTGAACCCTAATCCAAATCCATAATAAACTAAACACTGATCAACACTCCTCCAATTAATTCGTGACAATTAGGCTGCAGTACATATAGCCTCTAATCCAGGGTTCCATGAGAGAACTAAACAAATCAAAGTTGATTGTCACCTTATAAGGGAGTAGTTAATTTGTGGAGAAATTGCAACAGACTTTGTAAAGTCTATCGGTCAGTTTGACGATCTATTTACAAAGGCTCTTCGTGTAAAGTATTAAATTGGCTTCATATGAAAGATAGATTGAAGAAATGGAAGACGTTAGTATCATACAGATGTGTTCTTTGAGATCAGTTACCTGAGATCAGAGATTACCCAACTTTTGAATGTCCTTATTCATCCGATGCTTTGCCTCATAGAATGTCACATGCTCAATGATGGAGTAGTTTCAAGGTGGGAAGACAAGCTCAATTTGACTAGATAAAGATGAACATCTAAAGGAAAAGCTTTTCACATAACCGTTTTTAATTAGCATGAAATTTCTAATTTGTCTCTCTTGGAGATATAGGAACAGAGGATCAATTGCAATGCTCAGGGTATCCGAGTTGTCCTTGATGCGAAAACCATGGTGAAACTTACATAAAGAGGTTTTAGCTCAGATTAGACCAAAGTGTCACTGATTACCATTGAGAACTATGTACAAGATGGAACATTTTATTTAACTTGAAACGATATATGAGGTTGTAGCAGGATTGGGGACCCCGCTTTAAGACTAAGCATTACTGATAATCATCACGTATGAAAAGGAAAACGGTAATTATTTCTCCCCTTTCTCCTCTGCAACTCAGTCAAGACTTAAGTTGCAGGAACTTGGCACCAAGAAGGCATTGTCGGTCTCTCTCAAGGATGGAATAACAACAATGCTAACCAAGCCTCATCCCAATAGTGGACTGCTATGCCATCAGTTCTATTTCCTACCAACGGAAAGAATGGTAAAAAATCTAAAATTTCAACTTCACAGGGATTACAGAAAGGAGAAAAAAACAAGAATAAGTTGCAATGTGAAAAAAAAAACAATAATAAAAGGATAAGTCCTAAGGGAATCTAAGATGAGAACGAGTTGATTGACAGCAGAAGAGAGGAAAGTACAACTAGCAGCAAACAACTGAGGCAATGCCATTCCCCATTTTAAGGAAACTTAAGTGATCAACACCTACAGGCTTATGTCCTCCACGGCTCCTCTTTATGGACCTATACAATCATTCGCTCCTCCCCAACATTACTTCCACACACACAGCGAGAAATTGGGAGGAAAATGAACCTTCTACTAGATGCCTCCAACCGAAATTACACTCACAGAGGTTGAAAACATGTTACCAGGGGCATCAAATAGATTTTTCACATGAGTTTGTGTGTGCAACCCGTCCGCCCCTAGAGAGAGAGAGAGAGAGAGAGAGAGAGAGAGAGAGAGAGAGAACGAGCACACATAGATGTAAAGTAATTTCCAAGTCTCCAACTCCCTCAGAATTTCTCCACATTAGGCTGCCTCAGCGAGTTTGTTGACCAAGAGAAACCCAAACAGGAAACTAGAACAGTCCAGGTATACACCTCAGGATGCTACTATGAATTCATCATGTACAACATTACCAATTGAAGAAGTCTGCTCTTCCACAAATACACCGTCATGTCCCATGACATCACTATGCAGATAAAATTAAATATCATACGAAAAAGTTGAAAAACTATAAGTATGGGTGGATTTGAAGAAGCCTTTAGTGTGACATTGAGAATATAGAGTGGAGGGATCGTCCTACTCCTTCAAATGCAATATAGTCTCTAAACTTTTAATTTGTTCAATGCGATCCATAAAATTTAACTCAATGTGTAATGTGGTCCATGAACTTTTAATTTGTTCAATGCCATCCCTAAACTTTTAGTACATGTATAATTTAATTTCTGAACTATATGAAAATATCTAATATAGTCATTCTATTCATTCAATTTCAAGGATTACATTGAATATTTTCATATAGTTCAGGGGTTAAATTGTACATGTACCAAAAGTCTAAGGACGACATTGAACAAATTAAAAGTTGATGGATTATATTGCATATTAGGTCAAAATCAGAAACTGTTTGAGTCATTATCCCTTTTTTTCCCAAATAATTCGTAATTTTGTATGCTTTTTTTTTTGCCGGACCAAAAAAAAAAGGCGAGGATATTTCCACACATATTTTTTGGGGTCAGGTTTGGGATTCGTCTTGCGGGTAACCCGGAACCCAAACCCAAGGCCTATGTCACCAACATAGTTCTCCGAAATATACAAAGTCACTTAAGTAACTGTGTGCACCTCAAAATAGAAATCGACTTATGCAATGTACATCCCTTTAGCAATATTCATCGTTTCTACTTTATTTTTTATGATTCATAGAATTTCTTCATGAATTTAAAATTAAAGGTGTCGCATAATCTAGATTTGCATTACACCAATAGCATAATCGCTATTAGAGGGAAATAATAATCATAGCGGTTTCAATTACCTGAAGAGTACTCGAGAACTTAAATGGTACGGGTTTAGGATATACTTAAATGTTAGTGGGACGACTTTGAGGCAAGATCAGCCGTCCCAAACCCGTCCCGCTACCATTCTTAAATTTTCCAGGTCATGCGCTTAGACTTCAATCTTACGCAATGTATATATGATCTTATAAAACATACAATATCGGCCTATAAATTAGCACATAATTTTTTTCATAAATGAAAATTTAAAAAGACAGGTCAATAATTTAACTACACCCCATAATAAATTGTAATATTACATTGAGTACATACCCTTTGACACATCTCTAACTTCAAAAGATTGGAAACTAATAAGATGTAGATTGTTAACTAAAGAAGTAAGCTTAAGCATGAACTAAATTACAACATCCAAGAGGATCTTTGATTTAAGGACAATCTACTTTCTTGAACGCAAGAGCTTCTTGAAGAAACCTCTCAAAGTTGTCATATGATGACCCACCAACGGAAGTTGCAGCTTCAGCTTCCCTCTTCCAGTACTGAGCTCTCTCCCTCATCCTCTTCCCTTCTTCACCTTCCATCACTAGCCTCACCAAGCCCTCAATCTCCTCCCTCCTCACATCATGATCAACCTCCACTCCAATCCCCCACTCTGTGCAGGCATACCTGCAATTCGTCTGCTGATCTGAAAAAAATGGCCAACATATCACAGGCACTCCTGCACTCACACTCTCCATCATTGAATTCCACCCGCAGTGCGTCAAAAATGCACCTACTGATGGGTGATTCAGCACCTCATTTTGCGGGCACCAACTTGCCAGCGTTCCTCTGCCTCTGATTCTGTTGAGGAACTCACGTGGCAGGGTCGCCGACTCGCCCCTCACGATGTCGGGCCGGACAATCCAGATAAACGGGTGGCTGCTGTTCGCGAGCCCCCAAGCGAACTCCTCCAAATGCTTCCTCGACATCACCGTGATGCTGCCGTAGTTCACGTATACGACTGAATTGGGTTCTCTTTTGTCGAGCCATTGCAAGCATTCCGTGTCCTCCTTCCACAGGCTTGACTTTATAGATTCGGATTCAGCCTCCTTCTCCTGGCAAGTTGCCAGCAAGGGAAGCGGGCCTATGGTGTATATGGAGGGGAATTTGACGGCGATTGCATCTAGGACCTCACGCTCGAAGGCGTCAAATGTATTGAAAGCGATCGCCGAGGATCTTAGGCAGTTCTGCGATTCTTCTCCCATGAAATCGAACATGATGCTTTTAGGGTCGGTTGTCCTGATGTGACTGGGGATGTCTTTGAGGCAAATGTTTCTCATGCCGGGTATCCAATCTATAGGCGTGTCCAGTGTGCCATCGCTGAGGAATTTCTCATCTGGAAATTCACAACATGATTGTCACGTTCACATGAAGTACACAAGGTACAAAATGCCAACAACAGGTTTCGTTGAAAAGTGAGCAATGTTTAACATCTGGCGTCCTTGTATATTCAGTTACAACTTTGGTTTCAATCTCAGGAGAAGAGCTTTTTGATTCTCTCAATCCTTGCTTGTGTTGAGCAATCAGGGCTGAACAAGTCAGATTGTCACTTTTCATATAAGGAACACGAAGTACTAAATACCAATATGAGTCTTGACTTTCAAGTTTGAGCACAGACACAAAAGGTACAAAAGGTTCGTG